CTTAACATAATAACAGACACTACACCAGAATTTACCCATTAGTATTAGAATTAACAACTGAAATTGGAAAGGACTAACCTGGGTCCTGGAATTGTATGCAACAAGCATGTCTGTTGTGTAATGAAACCACTAATATCTAGAATTTGAACCATAGAATTTCCAAAAATATCCATCCCCACAAAATAATATTGGCTCTTCATATCTCCAAGTTATTCATAATGTGGTTTTCTTTAAAACATATTTGTCATAGTTACTAGACGATTCATTAGAACTGACTTCATGATAAGTATAAACAACAGTTGACATGAAGTCATCCGAACTGTAATCAAAATCGAGCACAGTTAGTACGCGTATCTCGCATTGAACAAGTTTCCCACAAGAAACAAATGCATAGTGAGTATAAATGACATTTGATATGACATTATAGAGATTTGATTGTTCTGATAACTTTCCTTAAATTTACTAAGAATGTCATTGGAGGGTAATGGATCATCAGAAAAATCAGCATCTATCGAAACTACATCAGATTTTCGATCATGATTTGATTCATTCGAAATATTTTCCTCAGATTTATAAGAAATTTCATCAGAAATATGTTAGTCGTTAGGACAAACCATATCTGATACAATAACGTGAGAAATCCGACAAGACGTTGATTGACTAGAAGCTTTTGTCTCACAATGGTTCTGAGTTTAATTTAACTCTGAACTGACATATGACTATTTACTGTTTTCCAAAGTCATGGATAAGGATAAATGATAATTAGAAACACTCAACCTAATAGGATCGGAATTAAAAGATTCAGCATTTCTTGCAGCGAAATCAATAGTAGTTTTACAAATTGTCTGGGTGTGTCCAATCATAACACATTCAAGGCACTTGGCATTACGAAATATACAGGAATTACATGAGTGAACTTTGCCACAGAACAGACATTTACCAAACTTGTTCCCTTCTTCGTGACCTGCTTTGCTACTCCTCAATGGATTGTGATCTGAATAACCTTAATTACGCATTGGATTTAGATAATGTAGTAGTCTAGTGGAGTTCTTGATGTCCTGGTGAATCATTCTACGAAATTTTTCTCCTTTACCGCATTCGAAATTTGGGCACTTTACATGGTCGAGTAGTAGTTGCTTGAGAGTTGTATATGGAAGTGAAATCGGCTTGTCTGGAAATGTCAAGACCTTTATTAAGTTGTGTGTTTGTTTCCCGGTGAATGTGAGGAAATGAGCCACAACATTAACATCCTTAACATTTTGATCGGTCATAGTCCAGATTTCGAACTTTTCAATGTAATCCTCAAAAGCATCAAAATCTGGGTGTATATCCAACCGTTCCATCACAGACTTCATCGCGACGCTAATGTGATGATTATGAGCATTTGAACAATAATACGAACTGAGAGTCCTGGAAATGGCGTAATCTAGACCAGACAGAACTAAGTGAGCACAAACGAACGTATTATGTTTGGAATTCGAAATTGAACAGGCAGCAAGTACAAAACAATCGAAAGTCCATAAAAACACACCATATCTTTAGTCAGTAAAAAATGGTACATTTGATCACGTTCGAAGATAAATTATGCAAAGTTTACTAAAACGGCAATCAGTGGACTTTTCTAAGTGCATTTCACAGATCTACGAAAGAGAATTCCAGTAGATATTGAACCCATGTTTTCTAAAAGAAGGAATGGATATTGAAGCTCTAAGATTTCCTTTAGTTATCTTAAGATTCCTTCGGTCGCCTCACACTCACACGTTCACTCTGGTGATCCTCATATATTTACCTGTGGTAATAAACAGCGTGGAAGTTTGGTTTTTAGTAGTTGCTACGTTATTTTCATAGAATTGCGTAAAATGTGTTCAGTGACACTTGTAATTTTTGAGCTAGTTAGTGAATTATTTTCAACGGTTCGGTGTTGCACTGGAGCCAAAAGCTTGTAATCAGTGTGATTCTTACACATCTCAACAAATGGTGAAGTCATATCTAGTATATCTACTTCATATTTTTTAAGCAATGCATGACAACAAGCGCTTCTGTCATGGAATTAACTAGAACTTTTCTTTCTTGATCCTTGAAATGTACTAAAAGTTTCTTTTAGATTACCAAGGTATTTTCTATGATTTGACCGTTAATAACAATAAAGATGCCACAAGTATTCAGAGGTTGACTCAACCTTTACTAGTAACATCTTTATATTCGAAGTATACCGTGTAACAGAAAGAGAAGGATGAAAATCCATCCGCAGCCTTTTTATAGGACAGTACTGCCAGTTATTTGTCTCTTCTCCCTGTCATGTATTTTAACCTTTGTTCAGATCTCCTTTAACCACACCTTTTGTTCTTCAGACTTCCTCGTCTGAGGTTTTATTACGTGATTTTGACTAAAGACTTATCTTTTGTTACCTAATTTTCTATTGCATGTTGCCAAACTATTGGCAGTAACGTCGTTTGACTAAGCTCAAGGTCACGGAGTGGTTCAGTGTGTGACTGCTACGCATCTGACTGTCCGCTTGGGAGGATCGCTGGAATCCCTTCAGATAGATATTCGATCACATTTTGTTGGGAATATTTCTATTGATTGTCAGGTATCGAACCCTTTGGTATTAACTGTTTCTTTTGTTGTTTAGCGCGCTACTTTGCTTTAGAGAAACTTTCGACTGTACCGTTTGAGGTGTTTTGTATTTCTGATATAATCTGTTTTATTTCCTAAATTAGAACCGTTTGAATTGAGCACATAGTTTGTGTTTTGATATAATTTAATACGAGTGCCTCAAAAACGCTTGGTAAGCTATACAGAAGAGCGCAGTCTGGCCTATTTGAATACATTTTGGTTCGTCAGTCCTGCGTTCAAACCGAATACTGACAGTTCGGTCGTTACATACCGGCCTGGTCAGACCAGAAGTGAAGATATTCAGAGTTATTTGAAAGTATATCGATATCTTCAGAAGCGTTTGATCTAGGTTGGCTCAAGTTTGTGTCACGATGTACCTACTCCCGATCTAGTGCGGATGCGTGAACAAGCGCCTGTAAGTCCGTTATTAGTACTGTTCTGATAATAGACCTTATCCTAGAATTGTAGATCTGTCATTATGCGACTAATTAATATATAAGAACACGTGGAATTCGCATCATTTTAACACTGACTTGTTGTATCGTGACAATTAGCAATATGACGCTTAGTACTTCTGAAGAACACATTTAGGCCAAAAATAGAATATATTTAAGGTGAATGAAATCAGATTATGTAAAATGACCACGTCTGCGATGCTGAGCCATGTCATCCGACTGGGTTAATTAATTCCTACCACTTTCTAAATTGTTGAATTTTCTCAGTTATCTCATGTTCAGCCTTGAGGATCATGTGGTTGGGACTAATACCACTACAAATTCTCCGACTTCTACAGTGGTGAATGTGCCGCACATAACAGTATATGGATGAGTTTCCTGTAGAAAGTACCATACCTCGATTCAGTGTCTTGCAACCATCCCGATAAGAATGCCAGAGGTCATCAGGTGTTGTTTACCTATTGTTGTAGGACTCCTTTGATCCGTCTACTGAGATGCTGATGGGCGCTTTGATGTCCTTGAGTGCGAGTATAGTTGCTTTCGCAATAATCCCATTAATTGTGGAGAATGTTTTTTTTGCCTCGTCATCCATATAGATGAGTTCGTTAAGGGTTTCATGGTATGAACAATCGATAGAAACTTGCCAGGACGCTGAACGGAATAATTGCTTGACAGTTGTTGCTTCTGGATAATCCACGATGGTTGCATTTTTGTTTTTCAGAGGGCAGATGACTCGAGAAAATCTAAAAAGTCGGTTCTAACCCAACATTCCTGAATGTTTACATTGATGCCATGATTTTCGGGTCATTTGAAGAAACAAGGTTCGGATGCTGTAAATGAGGTTCTCTGTCCTGACATGCGATTAAGCAATCATCTTCTTGGAATAATATATATCATCAGCTAACAGAATGTTACATTAGACCTGCAAGTTTAAAGGCAAGGCCAATTTTTTACAAATGCTACAGGCTTTACTCAGAGAAGTTACTCAATTAGGTTGACATGTTACAAAGCACATGGGTAATATAAACAGGGGATAGATTTTCGTACATTAGAATATTAATGTTAGTAAGACTAGTTTTCAGTATGTGAGTTGGCACGCTTTTTGGGGTTTATGTTACGATAAGCAATGAGTGGAACCAAGGTTCAGAGCATAGTTCATTTTTCTCGATAGTGACCCCGGATAAATTTCAGAGGTAAAAGCGATGATGCAAGGCAAAGTCGTATGTTCCATAAATGTTTAGGGTGGTATACCAAGAAGATGGTGAAAAAGACGGAGTGGCTGTGTACACGCAGCCATGTGAGAGTATTTCGAGAGGGAAAGCTGACTCTCCACTCTCAGCCGTACCAGGGCATTTGAGGACACTGACATAATTCAGGTAAGATATAGGCATTTCAGAAAAAATAATGTACAACGTAGAATACAGAATGTAAGAATAACATCTCAAGACTAAACGTTTTGACGTGACTCTATGATAGTATGAAGAGTCTGTACATACAGAAAGCGAATTTGTAGGACCACCCTTAAAACATCGTCTAGAAAATTCGGCAGGAAGAACAACTCACGATTATGGATAACCTATAAATACCTAGCTAAATCTAACATACACTGCTCCCGTGATGTTTATTTAGAGTTACTAACACTATAGGCCAAGTAACTCGTCAAAGGGGGCCACGTTATATCAATAATATCAAAGGGTAGACATTCATATATGAGTGCATTCACATACGATTCAGCCTAATTCAATAAACTTCCTCTCACCGTCTTAGTGTACCACTGCATCTAGGAGGTTTGTGTATGAGTATTAGTCCCAGACACCGCACGCCATAACAGTTACTTCATTAGATATTGTTTTTCAGATAAAATGTTGACACGAAGATTTTGTACATGTATTGGGAGATTTTACTACCTTAAATAATATGCTAGGATCCACTAAAGTTACCGGTTAATTTTTTTAATAGCATAGAACAAGACATTTTATTGCGAAGGTTTGGTCTCAATGGAGGATTGACAGCATAACAATAGTTTAAAAAACTTATAACAAATGTACAAATTATTGAGAACGTTAATTCTCAAATAGTGATACGATAAAGTGGATTAAACAAGAAACGTAGGACCAGGCACATATGTGCAAGAAACAAGAAAGTAAATAAACGATCTATTGATAACAATCCTACAAATCTACTGAAGCGGTCACTAAACTTTTTGAGAGCAATCATGGTCTAATTGACGTCTGTTACAGAACCAAACACGAACTGATTCTCTATCACAGCCTATTCTTGATGCCAATTCAGTGAAATCAGTACCTGGCAATGGATAATAAAGTAAAACAGGTAAAATTTCACTGGCGTTATAACAACAAATAAATGGAAATTATAGTGATTAATATTCTTATAGAAGATTACATTCCTATTTAAAAGTCGAAACAGGACATAGGATAATCCCCAGCTATCATAGAAGACTTGCAGATTACAGTATGCTGTAGAACAGTATAGCACTGAGATAACTTCAGCAAAACATTTTAGTAAGATGTCACTGTACTAGAAAAGAAAACGAAGTTAAATACCAAATCTAAGATGACAATTTGTTGAAGTACATAACTTTGGTTCGTTTAACTTTTTAAAAGTTTATTTACATAATATAGTTGAACTGCACACTAAAGCAACATAGAAATCACTAAAAAATAACCAAAAAGGAAATAACGAACAATGTAAGTAATTCTGTATACGTAAATTATTTTGGAAAAATCAAATCTTATCCATTAGAAAACTTAATGTGAAGGAAAATGCACAAAGGTAACAATGTGAATTATTTCAGATTACTCTGTTCTTTTATGCATAAATTAAGATACGCAGGAAATTCAATGAATAAAAATTCTTCGTCAACTTTAAGGTCGACAGAATAAGCCACAATAGCCCATAAAGAAATTCCTAAAGTTTACTTCTATTTCAATTTTGTACTGATATTGTCTTGAAAGACAGTAAAAGCTTCACGACTACAAACAACTTAACACAAAGTATGTAGTTTCAACAAATTTACCAGAAAGTCATATATATATATATATATATATATATATATATATATATATATATATGAAGTATACATACCTTTTGGTCGAGTATTTGTAGAGTAAAATTCAGTTAATATTGATAAAGCTTTTGGGGAAAAATAAGTACGACGCCGCCGACATCTTTTTTGTTGTGGATCGGGTAATTTACAGTTGAATTCAGATATATCAGAAGTTAGCTCCGAAAGTGAAGAATGATCTGTAGGATAATCGGCAACACAATCATTATCTTTGACCTAGAATAGAAACAAAAACAAAGTTTAAAGTCTTTAATTAAATATTCGGTAGGATTCTTTAAACAATGAACCGATCTAAGTTACACTATTTGTGAAAACCTGCAAAACCTGGGTGTCTGTCTCGTCCTAGTATTGGAATCCCCACAAGTGAATATCCACAACTCCATACCTAGGAATCGAAACCGTGAACTTCAGAGTCGCCCGTGAACACGTAACCTAGAGACTACTGAGCCAGCATCCGACAGTGTTAATGACCAACTTAAAATGTCGGTTTCCGCAAGAAATGTCGTCTATCAAACTAATTAATGATTTGCTGTCAATTATTGACTGTCTTTACGATTAGATCTGTTCCGACAATCATCTGCAAATAAATCGTTATTCTTACGGTTAGTAATTCAATTTTAATCTGAAGTGTACAGAAAAGGTGCAAAAAAAAAAACAAAAGTTTGTTACTACCACGTATAGTTTAATGTTTAGTTATCGAGGATAACACTTGTAAATACTATGCACTACATACAAAATATAGTCGGAAGTCATATTCATTAATCTACATAGTACTTACAAATCCTGAGTTGGTACTTATATACAAAAAATTCGGATGAACCCAAGCAACTGTTCTATAACATCCCTACTTACCTTAACAAAACGTGATATTCAGGTGTTCACTTCTAAATAAAATCTAAGTGTCAATTAATAATAATTGTAGAAATTTTAAAACTATACTTAGTAAAATAATACACACAATTTTAACAGAAGTTTTGTACTTTCTTAAAAATGAATTGCTGACAATTAATTTGCCGGCTTAGTGGTCTGGTGGTTAAGCACTTGCACGCAAGACTGATAGGTCCAGGGTTCAAATCGCACGAGGCAGGGTCGTGGATGTGCACTGCTGAGGAGTCCTACAGTAAGACGAAACGGCCGTCCAGTGCTTACAGGTTTTTCACGGTGGTCTAGCTTCAATTGACTCATGATCTCAACTATTAAAATAATTGAGTTATTTCAAATCCTACGATGTGTAAAGTTATATATTTTATCAAAACAATATTAGAAAATAAATATACTGGGAAAATGCACGTGTATTCCCAGGGTAAAGTATCCATCAATAGATGAACAAGAACCAATTATACTTACTGACCATGTTAGCAAGTAGTCTACATGTTATAAGTTGTAAAATTTCATTGTAGTTAGTTTTACAAATTAAACTAGTTCTCTAACGTTATCTGTACACTGAATGCGCTAAGGTGTTTTAGAATAAGCATTTTGAGAGTGGTTGATACTTTTTCACTACCTAGAAATGAAAAGGATTATTTGTAAGAAAAATTAAAAAACTAAATGACAAATGTCCTAGTCTCTCATTATTTCACATACAAGATGAAAGCACTCCTACTAAAGTATGTTCACATACATTTTCGTGAGCACATCAAAAGTTTTAGGAGGAATCACAGTAAGTTATAGCTTTAAGCAAAATCAATGAATTAACTGTTATCTCTCTATCTACCTCATGATAGTTTTATTTTACTTCCACAATATCAGTGATATGTAGTTACTCCGATTTAAATAGGAATAGTATTAACCCTAAGATTACAATAAGCTACAAGACGAGCAAAGCAAATGCTTAGGAATAATTTTTAGATTAATGTGTGTTCTGTGTAACAAGAAAGAATTTCTATACTCTTTTCGTAAGTTTTTTCGTACACAGACAAAAATGCAAATAAACACAAAACAATTAAAAGATATCACAATGGCAAATAAACAAAAAGACAATTACTTGTTTTTTTACGAGAGCTAAAACAGATGAAGTTGAAGAAGAAGAGGATGAGGAATTATAACCGGTACGACCTAAACGAGCCAATGTAGTTAAACGGGAGTTGCCTACAGCACGTACAGGGATCGGATGATGAAAGACGGACAATTTTTCAATAGTGATTTGACCACATTGATTTTGTTCAGCATGTGAAATCCAACGTTTTAGATAAGGCAAAAGCCGATAAGCAGATCTAACAGTGACATTTAACTTCTCAAACCTGATGAAAAAATTTATCAGAAAAAGTTATTAAAACATGAATTCTCATAAAAGTAGGTTTGACTTTATTTAATTCTGAATGTACTTGAAGAAGTTCATGATTTTAAACAGTATATAGCTTGAGATAAATACAGAGATCTTTATGTCGTGTAACTAATGTAACTTATGTACCATGTCTAGGTTTAAGAATTTCACTTTGAATCACACTATTTCTGTGTCGACTAGTGATACTACATGTTGAATCACTGGATTAAATACAAGTCAATGTATTAAGACTATCAGCCAACTGACTATTTATATGGTTGAATGAATGAATAAAGTTGATCCATACTGATATATATATATATATATATATATATATATATATATATATTAGTTCTTTATTTCAACAAACTTATTTTTATGGTTGTACATTAGTTGATAAATAGTCAAAAGTATAGAGAAAAAATCCACAAACATTCGGTTAGGGGTCAGTGATCATTAGGTAATAGGAGGAAATCTAACGTGAAATAAGAATGTGATTAATATACAAAAAAGTGCACTACGATAGAACCTTAATGACATTGTTAGAAAATTGTTGACAGTCTTCTTCAGAGCTACAGTACTACAGTGAACATAGTTGTGCATATTTCTTCAGGACAAATAACACTGCTTTGAAATTCTAAGTTGGTAAAATTTCAGTCATACAAAAGCCTGCTATTCTTGTTCCTTTTAAGTTGTTTAGTAGAACTTCTATTGGAATCTTGATACCCATCTTCAGAGGAATAAGTGACCCAAGTCGACGAAGAGGCCTAACAAAACGGCAGTCTTTGCTATACACGTTGGATGACGTTCAAGAGTGTTATGGCTAATGCAAATACAGTGATAAATGCAAACTAATGTGGCTAAACGTGCTAGATTGTCATTCATAAGCTAGTGAATAAGTTTCCAATGGTAAAATACAATCCAATGATCTATGGTGTTGAATAGATATTGACTTATTTAAATTGAGAATATTCTCAGTAGTGTCCACTAAGAAATCAAGATTTTGAATACCGAAGAAACAATGCGAGTATTTATGTTCAGCTTGTGAAAAAGATATTACAATAAATGGATGGAAAATAACATAGACATGAAGACACAATGAGATCCTAATAAATATTTTTTAAAGACAGTACAAACAAGCAAAATCAATAAAACAAAGAGCAGTGAAATAAAGAAATGATAAAACTGTCAGCAATAAGATCGCGTAAAATATAACAAAATAGCAGATTAAGACAGAACGGGGTGTAGAATAACATTTCTATATTCCTTTATAATACCAACAATGTCAACAAAAGCACTTCATATCAAATTAGGAATAAAATATGAGCAAGTTGTATGGGAACAGAATTAAAAAAAACTAAACGCTAATATTTTTTCGGAATATTCTCATTCTCGAAAAAAAATCTTACCTTGATAGAAGAGTTTGACTACATAAGGCTTTATCATTAAAATGTTTTGAAAGCTCGATACCTAGTTGAACTTGTGAAAGACCTAAACGTAGACGAAACTCTCGCAAGTGTTTAACAAAATGCTCCAGTTCAGTTAAATTATGTCCTTGAATGATGATTTCTTGATTTTCTGATGACGTCATACGATTCTTCATTTTGTTCAAGATTTCACAAACTACAGAAAGAAAAGAAATCCCATGAGGTATAAAAAATGAAATATTTAAATGAATATTTGTCACGATGCATATATAGATTGAAAAGATTATAAAAATATTAGGATTAAGTCAATTGTTAACCTATGCAGTTTTATGTTGGTTAAAGTTCCTTTCTAACAGTGATTTTATTGAAGTTTTTCCTTTTATAGGAATGTACAAAAATGTCGTAGTGAATGACTTGAGTTACCTGTCAACTTTTCCAGTAATTAATTTACAAAACAGAATTTATGGACTCTGTTGTCAAACGAGTTTAACCAAGAAGTGACCACAAGCACACTTTTATGCTTACATACAATTAGTAAACATAATAACAGAAGTCGTGGGCATTACTGTAAACTTGACCTCCTATCAACAGGAAAGAATGATATCAAAGTAATAATATTTTAGTAAAAATCACAATAATTCAGTCATTTTCATTACAGATCATAGACTACGCAACTAAGTGAAAAATAACACCTTTTATAGCGAAATAAATATTATATGTAAAACTTATGTTGAGAAATTGTGATTAAAATTGAAGTAATCCCAACGTTTTACCCAGCAAGCTTGTCGGTACTCTCTCAGGACATCAGTCATATTATTTATTTAAAAAAACAGTATAAACGAGAACTTTAGGTCGTCGAAATGTATGCAAAATGACAAAATTTAAACAAATATTTGTGATAACAAACTAAAAGAATAATTTCTTTGTCGTAAACAAGGTAAGAGTATCATAAACAGGATGGATAATAATAATAATAAGGTCCAGTTACTTAATTTAGCAGTTGCCAAAGCGTAGCTGATTGTACGCCGTCTTTTCTATTTAGGCCCATATAATGTTATAACCGGATGAGTACTAAAAAAGCCAGAACTTTGGGGACTATTTTCTGCAATATTATTGATTTAAATCACTCAATAACTGAATCTTTATATTCTAAGTATTATAAGCTTCCATCTGACCCACTAACCATCATCACACGTCTTATTAATCCTAGATTATCGCTAATCAATTATTTAGTTTGCCCGGTTCACAGTCACTTTTGGCTTGTTTGTGTATAGCTACGGTCATTTATTCTATGGTATGGTCGAACTCGTCATGTGTATGAGCCAATGAGTGCTTGAGATCCCCGTTGGGCTAGTTCGTAGAAATATAACGACAGAAGCTCGGCTGTGAACCACTTTTCTGGACTCGAGGGTGGAATAGAGGTGTGTGTGTAGGTAAATGTTATAACATGTGTGACACACCAATTGTTATATGTTGGGACGCGCGCGGATTAGAGCACAGTGAGAGCAGCGAATTATCGATCGGACCAAAGAGCGTAAACACGTAAGAACAGCCTAGAGTTCTGATTGGCCCTGCTTCCCTGTCTAGCCCAGCCAGTTGAGTCCAGAACGCAAATCTTAGCCTCTATGATATGAATCATTATATTTCAAACATACTCTGTTTATATACCAAACAAACAGACTACATCGTACCATAAAATAGAAAGTAACATTTGTACAAGATTTGACCTCCACGAAACGACACAAACAAATATTGACCAACGGGAAAATGACACGTTGAAAGAATATTGACCAATGGGGAAATGACAACATTTCTCATTCAGGAATAGCATTAGATAATTTCTGGGGTATTTTCTGAATACCCCAACAGTGAACCAATAGGAGAGAAGTTCACGTTAGCTCAAGGTTAACTGCGTCGGTAAGGTCTCTGATCTATAGACAAACTAGCAGACGTTGAGTAGGAAAGTTATAATCATAATTCTGATTGGCAAATTTAGCTAGCAAAATCAAGCAACGACGATGGGCTAATCAGAACAGCCTGAAGAGGTAAGATTGAATACAATTAGCTGAGCTTTGGTAACTGCTAAATTAACAAATAACTGATATGCCTAAGTAGTGACCAGAGATTTCATTTGTTCACCAAAAATTCTAACTATTAATGACATGAAAGCGCACACGAATGTAATCATTCTTTTTCACATTGTGAACATTTTTCTAATCTGACGACTCCTGTAATCTTACTATGTAAAAACTAACATTTAAATACGATTGGACAAACTGGATAAGTTGTCTTGTAATAATGATGATTACCTTGAAGATGTTCAGACAAGCTTGTTGTGTGAAACGTTAGAACGACTTAAATTTCAACCACTGACATTATTTTAAATAGAATTTTTACATATAATAACTCCTATGTACTTGATTCACAATTTTTGCGAAACATTTCGTTCAAATATTTGACGATTATCCATATGAAATTATAAAACAGTTTTAGGGACTTAAAACGACTGAAATCTATATTTCGATATAAAGATTTCACTATCGCTACTTGGAATTGAACATTGCCGGATCCTTGCAACATGTAAACTTTATTCATTGAGTGGAAAATTTGGAAGTCTTTTGAGTAGTTTATACTGTGATTACTATGTTTCATTACAGTTATGAGTTGCATCGGATTGTAAACTCATCATAAACTAACTTGTAAGTACGAAAGTGAACCTAATTAATAATTATAGAAACGAGATAAACTTATTTTTTAAAAGTCAGCCATTAAAATTGAATAAATGCTTCTAAGGCACTGAGATCTTCATCAATATCGGTTAGTTAACAGAATTCACTGACAACTTCCAATGAATGAAACTTGAAAGGTAGGTAATTAAACAAGTGAATTGTCAGGGTACTAACCGATTGAACAAAACATGGAACCAAATAGAAAAAGCCAACCCATAACAAACAATGTTGTTAAGTATGAAAGAGACAACGTTAGTTACCGATTTGTCCTAAAAATTTTGATCGTGAAATGCGAGACGAGGAATTTTTACTTTTATTCATATTAGCTGAACTGTTTTCACATTGTGGACGGGGAATGGTAGAATTAGTTGGGTTTTCTAATTCTGGTACGTTCAAAGATGATGAATTAACTGCTGTCTGTTGTGAACATGTTTGAATATGAGAAACATTTGTGCGATCCAAAGCTGAGGACTGTATATCTGTCTCAATACGTCCAAATTTACTAGGATAGTTTAAATCCAATATATTTGAACAATCATTTACTGAAAGTTGTGATATTACATTTTCTTGATTTGAGAGACTTTTATCCAAAGATAGATTTGTTGGTAAATCGGATGAATCATGTGGAAATTTGATATGTGGAAGTTTTTTAAGTATGTAACTTCCATTGGAATGTTCAACGAAGAAGTTTGCCAAAACTAAATGACCTACGTGGTTAAAATTGTTATATAGTAAAAAAATAATTGAATGGAGATTCGATGGGATCGGTCAAAGCATATGTATTTATTGAATTCATGGTCCTAAAACAAAACATTTATTTGAACGAGTTCATCATTGAAAACTAAACAATTGTGTTAATATAAAATATGAAGAACAATTTTGTTTGTTAGTACACATGTGAATAAAAAGTTGAATCCCCAGAGTGTAGTCCTTATTAGATATTATATCTTCAGAGAGAAACATTAGGGTTATGAATGGGGTATATTTACACAAAAAACATATGGAACTTATAGGTGACCAACAGTAGAAGTCTGATTCATTTTTTACTTCATATAAAACAGGAAAGAAAAAAACACCAGTACACTAGAGCTAGCTATGTATAAAATGGATGTTTTCTGTGGTTTACAGGAAGAAATATAAGGCGATTCAGGGGTTATCACAATATATAAACCTTGATGGAATGGATGAAATAGGTAAGTCGTATGGCTAGATTACCACGACAAATATTCCACACAGCAACGCTAGGAATATCTTACACTACATGCTTATTAGTAGATATATCCATAAAAGACAGACTATCAAAACTGAATGACTCGATGTGCATATATCTGTTTATCTGCTTTTATGAAGCTAGGTACATAAAGACAGCACCACATAGATGATCGGATCGTTGCTTCCTACTAAATTCCGAAGGAAAAACATATTGGTACTTTACAGTAATTACAAGAAAAAGCAGTCACTGCTACTGTTCAATGAGTTACGAAGTTGTATCCACCACTGTAATACAATCAACCTTTTGAGCAGTACAAATAATCTAACCAAGAAGAACTATCACACTCTTTTCAAAGAAGAAAAAGTTCAGACCAGGAAATCGACAAAATTATTTGAAAAATATGTTACATTAAGTGTACTATCAGTGTCAGTCAGTCAGTCAGCTGCAACGTAGGACCAGGCACGTATATGCATCGGTCCAAGTTGCCATACCGCATTAGCACAACAAGATGAACACCGGATTCATAGGAGTAGTTAATTCAGTGGTGGTAATATATAGAAGAAAGATTGTGTATAAGGAGATAGTAAAGGAAGAAAGAATTAATTCCTAGACAGATATGAAGCGATTTTAATCTCTTAATTTAAGGAAGACAGAGAGTGTATACACCGACGCCATTGTGATCGATTCTGAGCCATGTCACCAAGAGTCTCCAACCATTGGTTACGATAGTCACGCGGACCCCAACCAGGCAGTCTGAATCTCCCAACATGGCTCAGACCAGAAGTTAGTGACTTCAAGCACTGATGCCACGTTTTGGTTTGGCCGCCCCTAACTTTCTTCCAATTATCCCCTGCACTAGTCAGCATTGCGCGTCGTGTGGAGTAAAACAACTGTTGTGATGAGCTCTAAAAAGTGTATGTGATAGTTACTGGAGTAAAATTTGGCTGCACCAAATCTTAAAAGCTGAATCGTATTTTTTCGGAGTAAAAAAATCTATTATACACCCTGTATGTTTCAGAGTTCACGTTAATAACAAATTGGTCCTAAACGCTCGGTCTGAAACATACTTTGCACCATCAAACCATAAGATAAATAAGCAAGGATGACAAGAATCTGTGACTAGAAAGGAGTCATTAGTCTAAACACATATTGGCATTAAGATGTTGCTTCATGAGTTTTGCAAACTGTTGTTTTACTTTGCTGAGTGTCTTTGGTTCCATTTTCATAAATTCAAATAAAAGGGAAGTTAACTAATAGAGAGGAGATAAAGTTTACTTACAAAGATGCTGGTACACAAGCATACTCTATGGTGAACACTGATAAATACACTAATAGCGATTGTTATTTGATGAAAGGTTAAATTGAAATTACAACAAAACACAGTACTCGAAAACTTAAAATCTTAAATGGGTTGATCTCTAACGATTCTATATGGCCATATTTTTATTTGGCAACTACGACATTCGGTCAAACAATATGTACTTCGGAAACTATTGTCCTTACATAACTATGCCCGTATCAATTTGTAGAAAACTCAGATCTATCTTTACTTAATCCTGTCAAAATAGTTAATTATGAGGTATATAATATAGCAGGGGGCAAAGTAGCATCAATTTCTGCTGCATTATATTTATTGAGGTTCCACCAGCACACATCTAACTAGAAAAGTGATTTAATAAAGATTAAAATAGGATGCAAACACTTACCTATTTCAGATATATAGAAGAGAATATCATTAGTTCCAGGGAAAGAAATAACTTCTGAAGAGAGGAAAACACAGTTATAGGTTGTATTTGAGCCAGTTTCTTCGAAAGAAGTGTCATTCACACTTGAAAGATCCAAAGCCATAACTTTACGAAATGCTATTTTAACGTATACCGACAAAGAGTACCTATATACCTGCAAAGAAGCAAAGTTTTTGAAAAAATATGGGGGCCTATAGTCGCCACAGAGACGTAATGAGTGTGAACAACTAAAAACTAGACCAAACGTAATGAAGGTGTTGGTGTATAGCATAAGATATTTAGATTCAACTATTTATCAACTAAAAACATCAGCGATTAAAATACTAAAAGTAATGAGATGACTGCAAGGTACAACAAACTGATGTCGTGCTAAAGGAAGAGAAATCACGAATCACTAAAGTAGAGACATTGACAGAACCTACAAATGGTATGTATAGATGAATCCTAGTTATGGAAGTATAAAAGTTTTACATTAAGTGATTTGAAGACGAACGGGCGAGTACTAAGCAGAAAATGTCCAGTCCAACTCTTAATTCTGACTTTATTCTGTTGCTACAGTGTGTCTACATGGGTTAACGCAGATTTGCGCCGCGTTGATTATAACTTACAAACCATTGAAAATAAAATTTCCAACCACATTTATTAAAGTCATTTTTATCGACTACAGTACGTATCATATCATACCACAGGAAACCAGTAAGCCATCAGACAGACAAGAAGGCCAACTGACGAGATTACGAAGAAGCAGCAGGCAAGGGACAACTGAAACGCATCCAACTGTTTCCCTTTTTATGTAACTTCACTACTGTTACAAAGGTGAAAGAGAAAGTGTCTATTAGGGTTGATAGGTATCTACTCTGTTATTGGATTTCGGAGAGAACCCTAAAATCCGAGATAGGGAAGTTGATAATTTACAAAGGTTTTTCCTGATGTGAGACATTTAGGCCAAGTGTCTCACTATTTCCTCAAAGTAAATGGAAAAAATGAGCTTTGGTTGTAATAGCCCTCAATTAACACGAACTATTTTGGATAATGTTGCCTGTATTTTTCCAAAGTTCACCTTTACTTCACAAATGTTTAGTTGAGTCAAAAAAATGGCTTTTAATAAATAACACAATCGATGAGAAAAATTTTAATATATCACAGTTTACTTTCAAGCTAATTTGAAGTAAAACTCTACAGGTTTTGTAGGTGTTACCAATGGTTGGACATTCGAAAACAAACGGGTGACCTTGGAGGTTTTGAAAACTGCTCACTATTGTACAGGCTCAAACGACTGCTTATGAAACAGAATAAAAATACATTCAAGGTCAAAGACTAATCGATTACGCCACATGGACTGGCTCATGTGGTAACACCATTACTGTGCACTTCTCTAGTATGTTCTTTCTGATAAATCATTTTACTTTGGCGCTATCCTATTCGTTCTGGTCAGTCTGAAATCAGCTTCAGTTTGGAAAAGATAGGAGGCTAGATGGCCTATGTTAGTCCTGGCAACAGTGGCCTCTCAGTTGGTTCAACTTTGTTTTTAAGGCTTTGGCAGATGGAGCTTCAACCACGTGTTGAGGTGATGAATTCCACTAGTTGGTGATTCCATGAGAACGTCGATATACAGCCAACACGTAATTTGTTCTACGCTTGTGAACATTTTTACAATGTCTGTTTTGTAAGATTTTAAAAATGAGAGCATAACAGGTGCGAACTCGTCGGTAAGTAATTTGAAAACTGTAATCAAGTCACCTTTAGTGCTTTGACATGACAATCAGAATAGGTTTAGCTTAGGCAGTTTATCATCATTCACGAGCATTGCCATTCTACGAATCAGCTTAGCTGAGATTTAGACCATATATAACCGCTCTGTCCCTTTTCTACACAGGAGCTGGCCTCTTGCATGCAGTACTAGAGTTTAGGACTGACGAATACTGTATACAAAGTTGAAAAGTTTTTCGTATCAACATAAGTAAGAAATGCAGGCTGGCTACAATAATGGAGTCTACTGCGTTGGATTTCAACCACAATGTTCAATTTTTAGATAAGCTTGGTGGTCACATTATTCTATTATCACTCGAATATACTTCAATATCTGCACTGCTGTTGTACTTGAGTTTAAGTCGAATGATAGCATTCTTGATCATGAAATTATATAACCTGGAGTGAAGCTGAAAGACAAGGCAAGTTATTTCGTAGTGAAAGAAAGAGTTTTTTAATCACGAGTACGATGGAGTGAACTCTGAACTCTGTTACGTTTTCAAACGTGATATACATAATTTGTTGGAATGCCCGATTATAGGGCATTATTTGCCTGAACCACCACGGTAATTTCTAGAACTGGCACATTTAATTCACGAAAGACATACCTTGTTGACTACTTCTCAAATAATACGTTCCTTTCGTGTATAACATTTTTAACTCCTTGATTTAGGTTGCTTTCTGTTCATACCTTTGTGGTGTTTTCATGAACTTATAATTCTTTTGTACTTGCTGCCTGTCCGGTTTCGGATTAAAAACACAATACGTTCGATTGTGCTCACTTAGTTCTCTATGATGTCATATCAAATGTCATTTATACTCACTAGGCATTTGTTTCTTGTGGTTTGTCCTTATGATTCATTTATTGGTAGTGACATCTCACATGTGAGGAACATGTAATAAATGAGTTAAAATCATATCATATACCTTATGGTGTCGCATTAGATGTTATTTGTCCTCACAATGGATTTATCTCTAGTGACATCCCTAAATAATGTGACAAACATGTTACGAATGGATAAATTTCTATTCACGTTTCTGATGTTAATGTATAGGATGTTGGATAATCTTACAACCATTATGTGTCGAGTGGAATCCCTTGTATGTGATTTGGTGATTCAGAGGGTATAGCAAGTTTTCCCAAAGCAGTCGGGGACTGAGTTTGCTCTGATATGACGTTTAAATGGGCATGAAATTCCAACTGAATCCAAGATTATCCTAATTATTAAAAGGAAGATGCATATTATCAATTTGATTGCTTCGCAGACTATTCACATGTTTCAATTACGCACATGTATCTGATAACTGGAACAGTGGTTCTGTGTATTCAAATGTGAAAAGCAAAAAGAATTTTTATCATATTTTTCTTGCCAGTCAAGGTCACATGATGGAACGCCTTAAATTATATATATTTATCCCTAATTACTGACATAGAATAATAACGGAAGTCAGTGTGAGAAATCACTTTTGAATGAAGCCACATTATGCATAACTTGGTGATATGATTATCAAACATTATTTCGTGCGGATGGATATTGTTGGAAATTCTATTGTTTAAATTTTAAGTATAAGTGATTTCAGTACACAACCTGCACGCTAATCATATGAAATTTAAGTTGTTAGCTCTAATACTAACACTAGATCACACAGATTCTTTATTCAAGGCACAGTCTGACAGACAAATCATGAACCTCGGGAGAAGATAGAAAATCTGTCACTCAAACTTAGATTCCAATTAAAGCTGTAGCTGTTGTGGTGTTTGCTTGAAATAACGATGCGTTTGTAATTTCTGCTTGTCTGATTTCAAACTTCGAATACAGTACATTCCCTTGTGCTTATTTAGTTCTCTCTGATCTAAATTGCGATATTTCCGTGATTCCTAGTTCGTATAACTGGTCAAATACTTTTAATCATCATAAGTAGTTTCGCAGACAGCCCACAGTTAAGTTGACATCGTTATTGCAACCTAATGGTGCTCTCTCAAGCATAGCTTCCAGATCACAAATCATGTAGAATTGTGGTCTACTATGATATCAGTACCTTTTTAATAATAGACCTAATCCTAAAATTGTAAATTTGTCATGATATAACTGCCTTATCTATAAGATCTTACGTGGAAATCACATCATTGTCGACACTGAATCATTGTGTCGTAATTATTACCAATGTATGATAGAGAATACATTCAGGCTGGAGATAGAACAGTATATTAAATATGAATTAAAATAGGTCATCGAGAATGACCACGCCTGTGTGGTTTCAGTTGCACCCTAACCTACACTTAACTGTAGTCTAATTGTCTGTTTAACTTACTACCAGTTATTTGTAAACTGAATATTTTTATATGTAAGGTGACCTATGCCTAGTTAAACAGAGTAGGATAATGATATCTTTTTACAGTTTTTCTATCTGTTGTCGTTCGTCTACATAAAAGAGACTTTACGAATACCCTCATATTCAGTTTATTTTATTCCATTATCACCAACAAAAATTATTCAGAATATATATCTCTGGAGCTAAAAGTGAGTTCTGTTTCGCGATTTTCATAAAAAAATCAATGATGTCATCTGAGAACAATAATATTTCTTGCGTGTAGGACACGTGCTAGCATCAAAAGGTGTGTTAACAATTCATATATTGTAGAATTAAGTATCAAACGATCTGTTTTATTGCCTTAAAATAATTCCTTCAAAAAATCGCCCGACATTTATTCCAGACTTCGTGGTAATGAAAAAACTACTGAAGTTGTTTCTTTTTACTCCATTAGTTTAATAATATATGGTAATTCTCCAGCCTCCGGCAAGATAAAGACAGATTTGAACTATCACTTTACATGCGATGTAGAACCAAAGAATCCATGAATCCGCTAAACATATACAGTTAACAAATGTAGTCCTACATGACAAATTAATTCATATCCTGTTTTTCCCCTAGTTAATATTGCCACAAAATGTAGTCTGGTAGTGGACAGCAATGAACTAAAATCTTACTCCGAGTTATTTTTGTAATTATCATACCGAAAAAAAGAACATCCTTAGTAGTACTGAAATTTTTTACAGTTTGTTCAACAAAGAAAGTTGTTATAATACATGACACTATGCCTATAAAATAAACAACAACGTTTTAAATGACGAATAATGTCAAAAACTGACAATCGATTAATGACATTTTTGAAACCTTCTGACAAGAATTTGGACGCAGCAAAGTTTTCGGAGAATATAACTAACCAGAATGTGTTGTAAGTTTAAGTATAATTTGGGTTATAAGGAAAATCTAGAGATTTTGGCAATGTAAATGCTATGGTAGTGAGAACATCAAATGACAATAAGTACTGGATTATTGGCCTTTCAAATGGCACAATTGTTGTATGGATACTTTCAGTTGATCTTAAGTTGGCTAACGCCTTTTAGCTATTATCCGCTGAAGATAGTGAGAAGCAGACAAATAATTTCTATACTTTGAACGCAGATGGCGAAACTCTCCCTTGTTCAGATTTACAGCCTGTCCCAGAACTCAATGGTCGAATTCAAGATAACTGTCACCTTATTTTAGCCGTGTGTATGTCCTTAAAATTATCTTTACAAATTCGTTTGTTGTATTACTGCTCATGTAATTCGTTCCATTTATTTGTCGAAGCTTGTGTACGTTTCAAAAAACACTTCATAGTGAAACCATGTTAATGTTTGAAGAACAAATTAGAGACTGTGAGTGAATAGATTAATCACGTGAATATACCCTGAATGTGATATCTTTGCTTCCGAACACATTGTATTTACAATTCTCTTTCAAAGTCATAATATGATAACATCTGAAAATTTCGACTTTGCGGTGTGTTCTAATGCCATCTCTAAACTACAAGGCACTTCTATTTCAACAGCTATCTTCAAATCAGCTAAAATATATAGCTAGTAACCATCTTCTACTACATTTAGTTTCCACTCGCGTAGTATTAATCTTATTTTCGATAGATACATTCAGTGCTTTGATTTTAGTTGACTAATTTTAGATGAAGTAGGCCTATTTTGACCTGAAGCAGATTAAAAAAATCAAATTTGGGATGGGTTTCGGGCTCACGACACCCTCACACTTGTAGCCTAGGAATCAAACATTATTGACTTAAATATATGTATTTACCGACAAATTTTGTTGTGATTAATGTAGCTGTGATTACCATAGATAATGAACCTAGCATTAGCCTAGATTCTATGAAAAGACACTAAGTGGTAAAAGTATTTTTCTTTTTAACTTCAGCTAATTACAATTAATAAAGCAAACCCGGTTGATTTCCTGTGGTTAAATGCCAATCAGTATTACGGGCTATCTACAGCTGTCACTATATGTAACGTCTTTACAAATTATCAATTTATTATAACTTACCCATTTAACACTCAAAATCTTGATTACTTTTTGAAATGTTACAAAGATAAATTCGAAAACGTGGTATCACTGAATTTAACAATCCAAGTTGGTTGGAAACACTACTAACGCCTAGCATTTAGCAAGAAATTGCTCACTTATGTATTTAAGGAAAACGTGAATGCATATTTATCAACCAAAGTGGTGAACTGAAGTCTGGAACAGATATTTTATGGGACTCTTAACTTTGCAGTTCCAATAGGTGAAATAATGTTTTGCTTCACGGTTCGATATTTTCCAAATGACATCTAAAATACTGCTGATTTCCATATCAACTTATTAGAAATGTGAAACATTACAAATTGAGCTATATTGGATAAAAGTGGCCATGTTAATGTTTGCTCAAGATACAACGTGGTTAATTTTCTTAATCACCGTTTTCAGCGCCATCTTAAGTCTGTTTTAGGAACAAAACAAATATTTTGAGATTATTTTTATAACTATTGGGTTATTAATCAATTTATTTGTAGGCCGAGTTAGCAATTTCTTCTAATTACTAGCCCATTCTATACAGTTCAATTAGATAGTGAGTAAATCTATCCCAGCCAATCTAACTACATACCAGATGCCTAACTCTTAGCAGCCCGACCTTTTATAGTATTTATTTAAATGTTTTATTTCAGTGGCTGATCTGAACGCTTAGTAAACGACGCTACTTTGCCACGAGTTGAGTTTCTATGAACGGCAATCACACGATGATACCTTATTTACGTTTAGGTAATCTCTCACATGCCCCTACGTTGTATCAATGACAACACCTTTGTAAATCAGTCGTTTAAATCTACCTAATATAAACTTTCAGATTTATGGCCGCTATTTTATTGTGAACATGAGTCGGACAATCAGCGATACAATAAAATGAAGTGTAAGTCATTTGGGGTCGAAGTATGTCACTAAATCCTTCTGCGGACTGTGTTTCAGTTCTAGCCAACTCATTACAAAGACGATGCGTAGTTTACACAAGAAGAGTTATTTTGCAATATATTGGGACGAGATTTTACCCTGATTATTCTGTATTGTTTTTCTTATATACTATCTCAAAAAAGATGTCTCCGGTCATGCGCGTTTATGGCATTACACAGGAGCAATGAAATCATCACGCCTCCTGGCAACAATTACGGAAGAAAGAATCAGTAACCCATCTGATGCTCCTTTAAGAATAAATGCAGAAAATATGATGAATCAGATATTATCGTGTTCATGCTCATACGATGGTAAACGATTTGTAACTGGTGGGGTTGATTGTCATTTAAGAGTTTATGACATGAAATCTCGTAAACGCCTGAGAATGTGTAGTTCAAGGTAAACACAAATTTATCATATTTTAATAATTTAAAAAGTTTATGCTCTTAAGATTGTAATGTCCTAATGCTAGAGTCTAGCTAGCCAAAATAAGATTCTCTAATGTAATCATTCACTTTTGTATCATATAGATGACAGTTGGATTGTAGTGCAAATCGCATGGATTCGGAGATATAAATCTGTGAGTGATGGATGACGAGTCTAACAGTATCATACCCGGTACATTAAGATTATATCATGACCTCGAATTTCGGTTAGGTCTTGAAGGCAGGCACGGATATGACATTGGTTTTTTAACGTACAAGCTGATTCAAGTTAACACTCCATATTAATCAACCCAGCATCAACGATTTCCTTTTACTTCATATGACAGACAATCCTTAATTTACATGATACAATTTTAAATGATGTACTCTGCCTTAAACCTGGCCAAGTTTATGGGTTATTAATTTGGATATATAACTGTAGAGCATGATGAGAAATTACTAAAAAGGGATATTAGAAGGGATTTTTGTGAACTGACAGGTCCTGGGTTCAAATCTCGCAAGGTGGGGTCGTGGATGCACACTGTTGGGGAGTCCCACGATGAGTGGAAAAACGACTGTCTAGTACTTCCAGGTTTTCCATGATAATCTGGCTTCAATTGACTCATGATCTCAGCCAATAAAAAGGATATTTTTCTTTCATATAACTGTGTATTATTGAGATCGGTTTCAACCATATTTTCCACGTTTTTCTAATGAAACTCTGATAAAATAATTGATAACTCAAAACTTTCTCCATCAATAAAATTCAATGGCTTTTTGTAGAAATATCGAGTTGTATAAATGGAGGTGGAGAATCAAGAACTTAGTATGGGAATCTCAGCATATATTAGTATTTATTAGTAAAATTATTCATGTTAATAAAATCAGCAGTTAAAACTACAAACATGTCTTTTCAGATAAGTAGATTTCCTGTTATAACATTCAAAATGCATATTATCTTATCACCTATTCATAATAATAATAAAATGTAATTTGTTTGGTATGTAGCTTATTTTAAGGAAAGATTGTATAATGTCCTTTGATAAATCGAATTCTATATCACTTTTCAATAACTCCTGAATTTTACATGTAGATTATTTATAATTAATTTAGTGGTGATGCCCTATAACTAAGATTAAAACTGTTTAAAAGATTAGTGTCAAATAGAGATGAATTGTGGAGTATTATTTTGGTATCTAATTCATTCAAAAGTTTAAGTCATAATTATATTTGACTTTTTATATTTTATTAATGGATTACATATAGGTGTATGTAATACATCTTTCATAGTCAGATGACACTTTATTAATCATTGCTTGAGGTAGAAAATCTCGGAATGACTAATTGGAGCAGTTATTTACCTGACTATTCTCCTAAATAAACGAACAAATCTTTGCTAGTATTTAAACGATCCATTAATCGTTAATGTAACATTTTTGAAACTTGTTCGTTACCTCACCTTTGAAAATACATGTAAATATTTAAAATCCCGCGAAAAACTACATCACATCTGGAGGGACATGGTCTACCAAATTCCTCAGACAAATGGTTTTTCTACTTATGATAAGCTGAAAATAAATTGTTGATCAATGATCATCTTCCTAATATTATTTTTCATATAGCTAATGTTGATTGTGTATCTTGATCCTCGAATTCACTTCGAAGTTAAAGTACTTTATAAAGTTTATGCTGTTAGTTCAACATATTCCTTTAAAATTTTGGGTTTAGGTATCCTCGAAAAGGTAATATCGCTTTCTAGATGAAGAGTTTAAGGTGTAAACAGTAAATTAACTGATAAAGCCATAAATCTTCATCGTTTCAGATGGTAGGAACACATGATAAATATGTCTAGCCACTCCCATCCCCATTTTGTCTGCCATAAGAGCACTTTGGCAGAAATCTTGAGGCTCCTAATTGTAAATATTGAACAGGTCAACCAAGTTACTGACTACCAGTCTGAAATATATATGCAGGTGGAGAACTGCAAGTCGGGCTCCGCAAAATACCAGTAATATATGGTTGAAGACGTTAAATTACACGATTGAAAGCTTACCTCATCGGTTCAATCACATTTATAATTGATTTTTTAAAATTTCAAATTCCGAGTCATTCTATACTGTTTGTTCTCTTATCTCATTAGTTCTTTTATAAACAAACATTTTGTCCAACTTTCCTCAATTTTACCTCCCACAATGATAATTTTCTTGCTTAATGTGCTGTTTTAAGGTATAAAAACGTAATTGATATCTATTTGTGTCAGATTCTACCTTGTCTACAATTGAATGAAGATATCTGAAGTGGAAATGATCTCTTCAGTCGGCTTTTGCGTCTTGATAATTTCTTAGACAAATACATTTAAAAATGCTTTAATTATAAAACAGTTTAAGGTTGTTAGATATTAATTTTTAAAGTATTCTTAGGGTATATATGACAATCACTTACAAGCCAATATACATCAAGTATGTTTATTTTTGTATCACCTGTTAACAACGTCAGCTGATATTTCGACTATATTTATGAAAAAAGAATGCATTGTTTATAACCTTATTTTTCCATATAAATAGTCAGTCAAAACAAAGGCGAATTCCGGTTTCCAGTATTTAATTAAATATTAAAAAAAAGAAAAGTCTTCTGTAATTGTAAATAGTGAATCACATGCTAAAGTTTATGACAATTTCACAATATAAATCAAATTCATTATTGAGTGACTCTTTTGCATATAATCTTGAAAACTACAATTTACTTATTTAGTGACATATCTGATAATTACCTAAGTCTTGTAGAAAATCCACTTAACTAAAAACAGAAATCATGTGATTTGTCCTCCTATAAAAGTGAGTACATACATTGATTACACCATTCCAAAACGTTATATTTAAAGTTGTTCATTAAACTGACACTTGTATTCTCTTGATTTAAATGATATTTTTCATGTTGATTTAGTTCAAGGCTGTGTGAGCTGATTATATTTTATGCTGAATTCTCATAGCTGTTGAGAGCTATTAATTATAATAAAAATGACTACTACTAACACTACTATTTATTTACGTAGTAGTAAACTTAATACTTAATAAATTTCAAGCATATGATGTACAAAAACTATGAACCAAGGGTATTTTAAGCTTTGATAACTTTGACTTATCAATACAAAGATATACCAGCTTCGTTTTTAGGAATTGGAGGGACATTTTAATCACAACTATAGTTCATCAAATAATTTGTGTCACCCAACATCTCTATCATAAAGTTAAGATAAAGTGTTTAGGAGACAATAGATTAATGTAAATATTCTACCATCTAATTTAAAGCAATTAGTCCCTTTTATAAATTTCGATAGAACAGTTAGAAAGCGGAGTTGATCTGAAAAATGTGATGTATTTGTGCTATACGTTTCGAACAATTTGGTCACACACATTCTTGTCAGGGCATTTTATATGAAAATTAATAAAGGTCAATTCAATGAAAGTTCAAATAAGAAAGTAACAAATGAGAGAGAAACAATTTTGCATCGTATAGAAAGAATAAGAAATTGTCGCGTTATCCTAGGCCACAGAATAACTTAAGGATTACCAAGGTAAATTCAAGGTTCCGACAAATTGTTTTTGTACACATAAGGGGGTTTTAAATTTGCGAACAGCCAAGGCTTCAAAAACTTGAGAATTCGTCCTCTACAATTTCAATACAACATTCTAAAAGCTGTATTAGTGTCAATTTTGTGCCCCGTTTCAACTATATGTTTTGCTATCGATGGACCTGGTTTTCTGCCTCCCATGTTGATCGGATCCTTTGACACACATTGATTTTGAAGCCATCTGGGCACATGTTCTATTACCCTTGATTGCATTGTTCGATTACTCCTCCCTATGTATATGTGTCCTCACAAACAGGTAAATTGGTAAATACAATGGGAATTGACGTAATCATTAGTGCATTGTCTAGGTCTATTTGGAATCATGGGCTTAGACTTTTCAATCACAACCAATTGAGCAGCATAATAGTTTTTTTCAATGGCTGCTTTCAATCTCTGTCTTAACACTATACTGCTGGATTCACCTCTATATGGTAGATGGATATAAATTTTTTTCTTTGGAACTGAATAAACAAGAGGTTTTGGCATTAACTGACTTTTGTACCTATTAATAAACTTTAGTGGATAACCGTTTGCTATTATTGTGTTAGTCAGTAACTTTTCATCTTTTTCCACAGTGACCCCGCCTCGCAAGATTCGAATCCAGGATAAGATAATATTAATCAAATTATTTCAAATATTTGCATCTATGTAGAGAAAGTTACTTGAACTCAATTGATGAGCTGTTTCATTTGACAGAAATTCTCAGTGTAATTTATTTTTTGGATACAAAAATATATTAAAGCTGATCAGCTAAGCCCTATAGTTCTGATGAATGTAATAGAATCAATTTGATTTAATTGATTAGTCATGTGCACTCTGGATAACTGAGGGGTTATATGAAATTAAACTGGTAAAATCCGCAAACTTGCCCTAAATTAGTTCATATATATACTATATTACTGAAATTAAGATATATAGGACCAGTAAGCCAGTTCTCATTCATTCACAAATGCTTAGGTGAATTTTTGTAAGTTGAGTGTTTTTACTCAAAATCTTATTATTGAACAAACTGACTGCGTAGCATCCTGTTTGGATTTATTATCTAACCGGAAACTTTAGTCACTAAAAACGGGACAAATGCTGTGTTTATATGAACAAATTCAAAGTCACTTGAGTATAATTAAACCAATAAGTGAAAAACCTATAAATAATTTTTAATTACGAGTTAAGAAAATAAATCGGCTTAATGAGTTATTAATCAACGGTAACTAAGGTAGTTACTAAATGTACTCAACTAACTTCAATGCAAATGGGAGCTGAAACAGGTTAAATATGAAAGTTTTGGGGGAGTATCGGACCAAATCAATCCATCAAGGAGACAACTGTGAATCCTGCCGTTAAAAGTACCTATATCTTGGAACTGCTAACATTTGGTCTTCTGAATAAACACAATTTTTCTCCTAGTAAATCATAATAATCAACGTACTCTTCTTCTAAATACTAATAAATTGTGCTAACCTGAAATAAATTAGTTTTAACAGAAAAGATTACTCCTACGCTTATGCTTGTGGCGTACAATTCTTTTTAAATGTTTACTGTATTATTCTTGTAGCGTGTCTTTTTTTATAGAAACTCTAATCTAGTTATTCAAAAGAAGTATGGTCTATTGTATAACCAAAATCTACTATTATTAATAATATCTGTCTTATTATTGATATGGTTGAACTTCATTGGATGTTACTAAATCTTACAAATTGAAAAGAAAGTGAATAATTGTGTTCGAACTCAGTGATTTAAATGTTCATTACAAGGTTCAGGGCTTAATTATTGGTGAGGTGTGGAATAGGACTGTTGAAATGTCCAATACTAAAATAAGTAGTAGCGTTTCAATCCTGTTCCCTTTTAGATGGTTCTCCGATTGAATATAATACGTGCTGTAGATTGCCCTTGAATAAAAGTCTCCATAAAGCTAACCATGTTATTCAAAGATACAATGCCAAAGGAAGAACCATCGAATTGTGTTTACAATATCGAATGTACTGACTGTAGTGTTAGATATTTAGAGGAGAGATCACGACAGTTGACTGTGAGGATATAGGAATACAAACTTTACTGATGACTCATTTCTAAATCACCAGAGAGCTTGCAAATATATCGGTCATAACATTAAATTTAGTGGAAAAATGACATAAATTTGACCTGTAAGAGGTAAAAGTCCTTCAAAACGTTCTCGGTTCTTATAAAGACTGACGGGTGTATCCCAACATCTATGAGCAAACATGGAAAATTTAAATAGACAAGATTGAATACAATTAGCTGTACCATAGCAGCTATTATTTAATAAGTAGATCTAAATCTTATTTACAACTCTTTTTTCATTCCACGTTATGTGGACCACAATGATTTACATTCAACCAACGATTACGATTGGATACGCCTTGTACAATCAGATTGTTTAACTTAACAATACAACCATACATTTATTTATTTGCCATCGTTTTATGAATGCTTTGATTATCATTTAGACTAACTAATTTTAGTGAAATCGCAAACCGAAAACCATTGAAAACCTTGAAGCAATAGACATCCGTTTTGTCCCTCCATGACCCTGAAGGCGAGAATCGAACTCAGGACATTCAGCCTAAACTCTAGACTATTGGACCGGGATTCAGTGGTGTACAAGTCTAACTTCTAAGAGTCTATAATATGACGCAACCGTTATGCGTTGTCTTTGCTGGGCAACTCTCTCACAACCGATAAGATTTAGCTATCTAAATTTACCCTAGATTATAGCTTAGAGCCACACATGATCAATGGTATTTTTACATCAGATTTGCATATACCTATGTGAACTTCTTTATCTAATACAAGTTCACCACAGTTCACACCAAGTGACTCATACTTTCACTTTTACAAGTTCTAAATTCAACATTTTAATATATTAAGAAATCATTTGGTACGCAGTGGTATTGTGAAACCTGTTTGTTACTATGAGAAACTTTGGGCCAGATTGTCGAGTAAAGCGTTGAATTTACTTTTAACTTTGATCGCTGAAATTTCTACAAATACAATTTTCTTTTCAATATCTATCTTAATAAGTTAATTTTTATATAATAAAACTTTTATTTCTGTATGTTAGTGAGAAAGATTCTAGTAAGCGTTCTTAATGTTTATTAGTTATTATATTGTGACAATATATATTTTAATTAAGTTTTACTAAGGAGAAAATGGATGGACATGTAATGCGTATATGTGCCGTGAAATATCATCCACGTGGTGCTGTTTATGAAGATTATGTGCATATATTTATTACCGGTGGTTGGGATGATACAATACAAATATGGGATGATCGATATTTACATTCTTTATGGTAATTATATTTGTTCATTTATAATTATTACCTGTAAGGTTTCTTTGTATACTAATATTATGCAATCACCTTATTATTCAAGTTATTCTCTATTAGTATTCGAAGATAAATGAATAATTCTATAATATTCTAGATTATTTCATGTTTGGCTTTGTAAAGGCATTGAATAAATTGTTTTTATGCATTAAATGAAATTACTTCTCTCAATTTTAGTTAAAAGTTACTATTCAGTTATTACCAATTTGGATACACATACATAGATACTTTCGTCAAAATCATATATAAACCCGTGTTTAAATTGTGAAAAGATGTCTTGATAGAGCAACGACAAGACGGAGTTGATTTGAAAAAATGTGATGTATTTGCGCTATGCATTTTGAACAATCTGGTCACACATATACTTTCAGATCAACTCCGTCAAAATTTATAAAAGGGACTAATTGCTTTAAATTAAAATTCTAATGAAAAATTTATATCATTCAAAAAGTAAACATTTATTTCTTTAGTGAAATCCTATATACGAATGACTGGGCAGTCATTATGTACAAAATAACAAGTGTTGATATAAGAAAGCCTCTCAATATTATAAACTTACGTTTAATATGAGTATAAATTACTTTTAATTTTATCACACTAGAGATATCCAGAAGTAGCAGAAAATGAGTGCTTATTGTCAACTCTTGTTGAGTAAATGAAGTTTATCTACTTTTGCAACATTTTAGTTATGTGTACATTACATTTGTTCTTCCCTATGTATATATGTTGACATACACATGTAAATCCATAGACATGACGAAATTTCCTGTAGTCTTCCAGATCCCCTTTATTTATTTTTGAAAACTCAGATAACCATTTTTAAATTCCAATGACCTTGCCTCTTCTGTGAATCGTGCTTCATTTCAACACGAAATTCCTTGACTGACTATGGAATGGTAGGGTTACGTAAGCGCTTTGCTCATGCTTAAGACGTTGCATGTCATAAAATTTCAAAGCTTTACTACTAGTATGTGAAGTTTGACGAGTATCCATTTTTTACAAAACATATTGATCGAATAAATTATATTTTATTAATAGTCTACATCTTTCATTACACTGTTGGAATTTATCAGTTGAACTATCTGTTCAGATGAATTTATATTTCTGATTCCTTTTCATTCATAAAAGCAGATGCTTATCTAATATCGAAAGTTATTACCAACTCAAAGCTTTACAGATTTAAAATAATCGAAAATTTCTTATTTTAGTACCATTCTGTCTAAACTTATGCTTCAATAATATTGGCTGATAATAAAGTTATTTGAAATAGTCTTCGTGGGCAGAGTATTTAGCTTGGAAAAATATGATTATCAAATTTTGTAAGCATATTTGGGCTGGATTAGGTTTAAAGAAGTTCCTATGTCACGAACCAAAAGAGCTCTAGAAATTAAATATATTTCAAATCGATTTTTCCTACTGATCATTATACCACTATTTCATATAAATGCAAAGCACATTACTATTCATACTTCAATGCAGGATACCACTACTTTGAATACTATCTCAATCGAGATTTAATCCAGATTTTACTTATCATCGGCATACAATAAGCACTTTTGTTAGATTATTCTCTCATGAGAATTCTGTAAACAATTATCTGCAGAAATATAAAAACTTATCACTTATATTTCATTCTGGACGTAACAGTATTTCGTACATCACTACAAAACCATTTGGAAATAAGTTTGATTATACTATATTTGTTAGTCGCCAATGTATCGTTAACAAGAAAGGAAAAATCACTTTTATTGACTTAATTAGAAAACACCTATTTTATTACTTCCGTTATATTTTTAGGATTTATTATGGTCCTCATATTTGTGGATCAGATGCACTGGAAATCGAATCAGAATCAAATCATATATTATCAAGTTCATGGCGCCGTGACAAATCAATTCTGCAAGTAATAAATATTTATGAATATATATATATATATATATATATATATATATATATATATATATATATATATATATATATATATATATATATATATATATATACTAACAGGGATTGTCCAATTTTGTCCTGAATATTAGTAGTTGAGAGAAAAGTGAAACGTTATAATTAATAAACAGATACTTATGTTTTGTTTAATATTTACTGTTTACTATTATTTAGATTAACGTAATAAAAAGAAATATGCCTATAACTATTCATATTTTTTTTCTTTCGAAATTCTACTCTTACTTAAATAGTATGTACTATTTATCAACGCATAAAACACATAAAATAACATAGTTGTCTATCAGCAACTATCGTTTAAATAATGATTATTCATTTAATGAAAGCAATTTAGACCTACACAGTGTATTAGCTTCGTAAAACCGTATCTTAGAACATAAAGCTAGAGCAACTATTCTTGAAAGTAAAAACACTAACTAAATGAATTATAAGTTATATTCTCGGTAAAAAAATCTTGTTAGAACAGGTATCCCTTTTAACTGTTTAATTGTGGTTAGTAATTGAACCGAAAACTAACGTTTCGTCTTGGATGCATCCAGTTGACGAGTCCTAACCAGGACGTAAGTGTGTCCTGGATCCTAATGTTAGTCATAATTCGACTCTGCATATGACACTTGTATCATAATGACTATATTGATCCAGTCTGCACAGGATACACATATGCTAAAAGGGATTTATTAGTTGCTGTCCTAAATACCAATGGGAAGATTTAAACAACCAATACAAATGAATTAGTTATTTCTCATATTTCATTATATTTCACCACGAAGAATTTTTGAGTTTTTTTTAAATATTTTAGAGGTGGAATCCTGATAATATGTTCAATTAATGAAAGAAAATTGATTGAACTGTCTTAATAGTTGACTAGTTTACGTTATCATCTGTTCTCTTTTACTATTCAAATCAGTTAAACCGTTTATTCTATCTGAAGTTTAAAGATAAAATCGATTGCTTACAAGGGACACTCACCACCAAATGTTGATATTCGTATCACTTCCGTTTCAAATGAAATTCAAGCAGAAGACAAATTTAAATAGCCTATTATTGTTAGATATTTTTAAGAACATATTTCATAGTAAGCAGCTTAGCATAAATCAGTACTTTATTATACCACATAGGGATGAATGACTGTGATACCTGATTATCGCTTTATGTGCACAGTTCTTTCCTATAAATAGTATTCAGTATCATAAGCAACTCCAAACAGAAATATATGATCGGCATATTGAACGATCAGTTTGTAAATTTCAGTATGAATGAAAGCTTCATTACTGTTGTATAAATATTTCTTAACCACAAGTGTTCACCAGCCATAATTACAAATTTCAGCTGTTTTAACAACCATCCTCTACTACTGAATTGAAGGAAGAACTTAATTCATAAGAGCACTAATTGTTATGAACATTTTATAGCTTAAGCGATATAGGACATTATTTTATCAACAAATAGTAGCAATACTGTTTTTAAAACGTCTACTACCATAAGAAAACATTATTGTACAGATTTACACAATAGCTAAGTGAATTCAGATAAATTTTCAATCAAATTAAAAATATATAAAGTATTTTTGATTGTAACTTAAAGCCTTTCAAGATTACAGTCTAGTTGTTAAAAAGAAATATATGAGTTAAAGAAATAAGCCAGCAATTAACTGAACTTTATGGTAGAATCAAACAACATTGAGATGATAATGAAAAAAGAAACGATACTACTCAGCATCTGTAGGAAACTTCTGTAAAAACTATATCTTTAGTAAGTTACTGAATTCAATTTCGTTTGTTTACTTTTGTTCTAAACATATATTGTTTTCACTTATCTACATAAGGTTTGGAAATTTAATGAAGAGCTTATGATTGAATTTTATAATTCAGCTGAACATCAAGGTGATGAATTGTCTATACCATCTGGAAGGGAAATCATAAATAAACAAACTGGAGCTTTATACTACTGTAAACCAGTAGCTGAAATACCTCAAGATACCTATGATGGACCGAGTAAAGTAAGTAAATTGGATACGAAAGGTCTAAATGTTTAATAAACTTCTAGTCAAATAAAACCATCTCATAGAATACATTATTTTAAAAACCAAGTGTTCATTTGTAATCGTAAAAGAAAATATCATTTTGAAAATGAAACTAGAAGATGAAGCTTGTCTGATATTTTTGGACAGTACATCTTAGTTAATTTATTTAGACACTTATTTATTAAAATCTTTTGTATGTAAACTAGGAAAAGGCAAGAAATAATTCAGACTGATGGAACACACGCCGTAATAGTTTCAGAGTTAGTTGACGTAGCAAGCTCAGGTAACCCTCAGAAGTGAATGGGTATTATTTCAATGCAAAAAACATATAACTGAGACTGGTCAACTGGTACAAACCTTATCTATTAGAAAACATGATAATTATTTTTTGTATTCGAAAACGCTTTATCCTTACTTTGAACTTCTCTTGGTAATAACTAATATATATTTAACGCCAGCAATCATGTGACAACTTGCTGTTCTCCTTATATTATGCCCTTTTTCTTATACTTTTAGTTATCACTTCTGATTTAAGTGACCTTTCTTTGTTTGAGGTGAAATTCATTGATACGTAAGTCTGTGATCAGATTATACAAAAAGTGTTACGCTGACAGATTACTTACTTTTAACACAGACTCCATCTTATTATTGCACTTTCGGAATTTATAAACAAGATCATTCATTGCACACGTTCTGAGTGATGCATTATTCGATGTTGCTACAAGTCACATGATAAGAACTAATTATTTTCTGTCATTTTCAGTCGAATTCACTTACAAAATCTAAGTGAAAACTGTTGATACCATTATTTATGGCTGTCATAAGTTATGTTTTTAGTGTTCAATCGATATATCTGGAACTTTCAAGAACTGTTCTTTTTTCATTCGACGGATGAGTGCTGCATCTTAGAGTGTAATGTTCATTAAAAATTACAGTTCAAGGGTTTGCAGTTATCTGCAATAGTCGTTTATGAATATTTCAGAATAGTATTGACAAATATCTAGGATGATAGAGACAATATTTTAGAAGTTAAAACCTGAAATAAAATCTCTAATCAAAACTTTACTGTATTATACATAACTCACCTAGTCAACCGAAAAGTGGCCAAAGGTACTGGATATAACACACTACTTAAACATTAGAAACATGACAGATAAAATCAGCCTTATTTATTAAATCGGTATTCTGTATTTTGTTTCTTGTAAATAATAAATAAGACATCATATGACTGGAAAAAAACAAAGCACATTTAAGCTACAACCTATAAGAAAACAAAATCGTAGTGTTTTTATTAATCATTACAACATGAATCAATTTGTTATGATATGCAAAAATAAACAACAGACAGTCAATAACTGAATATATTATCCAATATGACAAAACAAATATATCTGTTTATGAATATCACAATCAAAAGTTGATTTAATAAACTTGAATAAATTAAACAATAAAACAATTTCGTGAGGCGGTATCATGAATGCGCACTGCTGAGGAGTCCCACGTTGTTCTAAAAAAATGCTTAAATTCTGAATTGCTAAACAGGACTTACAGCGAATAAAGAAAGAAACAACAGCAACCCTTCAGATATAAATAATGAGATCAAAAAACTAGATAGAATATTGCATTAAATATAACTTCATAGACTGCTATTGAATAAATAAAAGCCTTATTTAGACTAGATTTAATAAACTTATTTATAAGATAATATAGTTGTTGATTGATTTAGATCAATAGTAACTAGATGATCACAATTAGATTTCGTGTCTATCTAAAGTCAATCCATTATGTAAACTATAAAATGAATCGTCGAATCGATTAGTTAAATAGATATATATGACTAATATGTGGTGAATGCTCAGTGCCGCAATTGTCAATATATGATTCATTTCAAAGTTAATTCAGATAAGTAGATCAATACTATATATATATATATATATATATATATATATATATATATATATATATATATATATATATATATATATATATATATATATATATAATTTGTCCTTCTATAATGTATTTAGGGTTATGTAGCGAAATGGCTTGGACCGTATTACATAGCATTCGGTGGGTCAGATGCAAATATTCTAAAACTTATCAGTCGTTTCACATTAAATGTGAGTTCTAAATTGATTTAATTTTCATTCAATTTTAAGTTTATAAGTGCAATCTTCAAAATACCCGGTATTTTCATTGGGTCCTCATCAACATTTACTGGAAAGTCGTATGTGAAATCATTAGGCTGTTATCCTGTCAAAGAACCGGATCCGTGCATCTCATATAGTGCTAGTTGAGTCAGACTTTTTGATTTTATTCAGAAAACGGATGAAAAGCTAGTTGAATACTCAAAAGGAACGAACAAGAACAAATAATTTTCTGTTACCAGCAATTTTAGAAATCCTTTCTTGTAGACCATCAACTCAATAGTTCAAATTTTATAATACATTTCGAGCTGACAATTTTATACTACGGCCATTTTAATTGGCCAGTTCTAATGGTTTCTTTTGTTCAGAATTACCACTCTAACAACAGATGGAAATCAGGATTTCCGTCTTACTAAACTAGGCTGTCTTAACAATGAGGAAAGAGAAGCATTTTGAGGGGAATCGGAACTTGTAACCATACCATCGAAAAGAGTTTATAAATCATTTAATAGCTTTCTCTTACATGTGTAGGATATAAAATTGTTATGAGGTAAATAAATTAGAAACTAACATTTTAGACCTCTCATCAATGAGATATAAATTTTTATATACCAGATTTGGATTACTGGTGGTATTCTGTCTGAATAAAATACTTGAGTAAGCTATTCTTCCGCTGGATAAATCAGTATAAAATAATCAATCGCTTTTCATTGCAATTTCAGATCAGTTAACGATATATGTAAAATTATGTTATCAACAAGTGATAATTGTTTACAGTCACAGACTGTTATCTTACAATATTACCGCGGATCAACGAGACATTAGGAGCTTTTTTATATCAATTGTATTTATTGTCGATTTCTGTCTTGTCACTATAAGTCTGTTCTTAGTGCAGTGTCAATCCAGTTATATCAATAATGTTTACTAAATTGTACTTTCACGTTATTTGATTAATTAAACACTAAGGTTGTTGGATCATTAACGGAACTGACGAATGGTATTTATTCATTAGCCTTTATTGAGCCAAAGACAAATGATAACAGTAACAAACGTACGGTACAATTTGCATTTGCCTCTGGTACTCGTGTTTACATTGCACAATATGAACAAAAATAAATTTGCGGAGATTTATTTTTTTGAAACGACAACTATTTACTGAATTTTATACTCAAAAATATGGTTATTTTTAATAATCTTTTTAAAATAACTTTTGCATTAGCATATGTTTTGCCGATTGAAATAATAATATCGTTTTTCGTTCAATTAACAGGATTTACGTAAATAAAAGACTCATATATTTCCTTTCACTCAATTTATTGGACTTGTTGTCTATTTACCAAGCCATATTACTCACTTTTAAGCAAAGTTTTGAGAGCGTCTAGCAGAATTCTAGGACGCGCATTTCGTCCTATTTATTATTTGTTTGCCGGATATGCCTGCAGTGTTGATATTCTCATCAGAATTCAAGCTCATTACCTTTCACAACCAAATCCTTAGTAGTAGAATTAAAGTCGGTCCCTTGTGCACTACCAGTGGCTGACCAAACTCATTATCCCAGTGGATTTTAGTGGCTCTGAATCTGACCCCAATTAAATCGTATGTTTAATTCTTATTGAGATATACATATCGCCTATCCTCGTATGTAATTATCGACTCAATCCGCGTTAGTGAATAACGGAATTAAATAAGCCGAATACGAGAATAGATTTTGAATGTGTGTATTTTGTACAATCGTTGATCGGAACAAATAATCAGAAAAACATAACGAAGGGAGAAAAGAAGAGAGAGGGAAACAAGACGGTGCGCAGTTGAGACGTGCGAGCCAACTCAATTTAATTAAGCGTGAATCAATATTCATAGTCACACAAAAATAAGTTACTGACATGTGATGAATGGGATAAGAAGTGCACACACATACGCTCATATAAAAACAGTCAGGATTGATAAGTGAATCATTAACAAGGTCAAAACGTGACTCAAGAAGAATGATGAATAAACTTGCCTGTTCCGAAGCTAGAATAAGTTATATGGGCTTAACACAGTAACCGACACTACAAGATGATAGGTTGGCATTTGACGTAGAAGGAAGCAGGTTCTGGTGGGAATATCCACACTGAAGTGCATGTATATCTAGCTGACGAGTACCAGTTGGGACGACGCGCGTGTCCTCCATTAGCTGCTATAAAAGCTTAGCTTAAAGATGCGTGTGACTTAAAGACACTATTTAGGCAATCTGCTTAAGATATACACACACCACAGGAGACTGATCAATTTCAGCCCATAACATCCACAATGGAAAGGTTCAAACCTTTACAAGTGAAACTAGTTAGCTCACTGATATACAGGGAACTAACTGTTGTGTAAGTAGATTTTCTAGTATTGTAAACTGAAGGAAATGAGTATAGTGACCATTAACCATAGATGATACATCTGATGCTAGCAGCTCATCATTTACTCATTATATGATCTCAAGTGAAAACCACGTGTGGTCGTTTTGAGATCTCAAACGGAACTACACGACTAAGCAAACATCACCAGAATTTTCCTATAGGTTTACTGGATGAACCGAAACAATAGAAGCTAACCATTTCCCTATTTCGAAGTCAAGCTCGAAAGAAATTTAACTTATCAAACCTACATGTTAACGAAACACAATATACTAAACTTTCATATGGTTAAATGATATGAAAATACTAAGAACTGATGTAACTGTTGGTAACTCGTTCGGACAATGCTCTGAGCCTATCGGTTTCCGGATTTCTGTTTTATATCTTGAAAATCAGATTGTGGTGTTTTAGTGACGATTAATGCTAAGATGGCATAATCCAGTTGTTGATGTAATATGCTTTTTCATCGTAATTCAAATGTTATTCAAGCACTTCAAATTAACTGGAATGTTTTGAATTTTTTTGAAACCCTAATGTATAAAAAGCTTATTCCGGTGAAGAAAAATAGTTTTACGGTAAGCAATTACTGCCTACATTCTAAATCACTATCAATAGAATAATAGAAGCTCTAGATGACCTCATATATGATGGTAGATACAAACCAGTATCTATCACCAACTTCCTTCAAAATTGTCCACATTGAATGATGGTACTATCTGTGTGAATAACATTGATGTTGAAGTGTTTGTTTAACCATACAGCCAAATTTTCAAAGTAGTTTTATTCCTATACAGTTTGTGATTTCATCAACAGATGTATATATGACAACACCAATATTCATATAAACAATCCTTAGTCACTAATGTCTTTTTGTTTTGTACAGCTTCAAGAACAAGCTAGATAAGATTACAATCATTGATTGATTTATTCCTTCTCTTAGTGGTTTACTCATGCAACTGTTAAAGATTTGCAAGGAATGTAGAGTTTACTGGTGTAAACACTACTAGAAAGTAGGATTACTTATCTATGGTACTAGTAATTCCTGAACTTGGCCTGAGCAAGTTAACGAACCACTTATGACGATTGACTGCTGTATAAGTACATGTGGTAAGAACCTTACACCAAAGACCATACACAAGAAGATACACAGCCTCAATTTTGTAATGTGGTATGAATTATTCATCTCAGTCAGTTACAACGTAGGACCAGGCACAACATGCATCGGTCCAAGTTGCCACACATCATAAGCACAGCAAGACGAACACCGGATTCATAGAAGCAGTTACTTCAATGGTGTAATACATAAAGGAAATATTATATGCAAGCAAATGGTACAGAAAGATATGAAATAATTTTAATCTCATGGTTTAAGGGAAGACAGAGACTGTATACACCTACACCATTGTGATAGATTCTGAGCCATGTCACCAAGAGTCTCCAATCATTGGTTACGATAGTCACGCGGACCCCAACCAAGTAGTCTGCATCTACCAACAAGGCTCAGACTAGAAGTTAGTGACTTCAAGCACTGATTTCATGTTTTGGTTTGACCGCCCCTAACTTTCTTCCAACCATACCCAACACTAGTCAGCGTTTCGCTTTGTGGTAATCGGTGTTTAGGTATACGTAACACGTGGCTCAACCATCTAAGTCGGTGAAGATTTACAACCTCATCAACTGACCTACCATCATTCCCTAATACCCTGCGTCTAACCTCACTATTACTTACCCGATGATCCCAGCAGATGCTACCTTGACGTGGTGGTCGAGACTGCCTATCATGATGAAGCAACCGAGCTACACTGGCTGGAACAACCGTTCCTTAAGGTCCTACCATGCCATACAGGTTGGTTGAAGAGCGGTAAGACCAAAAGCAACAAACTCAACGTCCAAAGGCGAAGCTGTACTGCCGACTGTACAGAGGTAAGACAGTAAGAAGGTGTTTCGTTCAGACAACCAGCATAACAGCGATGCTGCCTCCGCAAGAGGGGTGGGTTAGAAGAAGTCGACCCTAAAAATGCACATCTCGCCTTATCCCACTGATATCCGTCTCCGGAGGTAAGGTCTCAACAAGTACGGAGCTAACACAAAAATTACTCATAAAACGTCGTGTGTGACCGACCTCAAGCAGCTGTTCCTTGGGCACTGCGGTCACGCTCTCAGGTCACTAAGACCACCTCTAAACCAATTTCCTTTTCAGGTACCTCCAGAAGAACCCTTCCACGATGTGCACAACCGGGAAGTGATAACCACCCTCATACCTTTAACAGCACTCAAGAATTATTCATTTACTTTTAACTATCTGACAGCCAACTGTACCTAGACAACTGACTGTTGTCTTGATAACTTTTGAATAGAAATCTAAGTGACGATAAGTGTAAAACTTCAGATCATGTAACAGTACAGGTAGCAAACATGCACAACTTAATGATAAAGTGTTCTATTATCACCACTATAAACGATTTATACTTTTGAAACGATAGAATTACAAATGTTTTGAATATTACTTAATGGTTAGTAATTAATGGCAACTTTACGATGATATAAATCAGTATAAACTTTGGTTTTTCACACTGCATAATTATCTTAATGTCAACTGATGTTTTAATTTAAAATATTCGAGTATCAATATAAACACATTTCGTGATTATACTAAGAGTGAAAAGTATTGCAATCCTATGTGAAGCTTTTGTTGGTAATTGACAAGAAACACTGGACCTTGATTTCGTTGTAGTTGACATTCGTCAACAAGGAATAACTGAGATCGTGAGAGCTGATGTTCCCCATTAGATTTCGGCCCGAGTCACACAACCTTACAGTCTAAGATACCACCGCTGAGGTGTTCGAACAGCTATTGACCTGTTATAATTCATACTGTACTTAGAAAAACTTTCATTTACCAAACTTTCACCAATAGAACACATTAAACATGCATTCATTGTTTAAGCAGTGATTTCTCAACATTAAGATGTATTTATATTCATTCTTATGGCGTAAACTGGTTCTATATTGTGTTGTGTTGTGTACATACACATTTTGAATAGGTAGATTTCAAATCAACCATTTACCTTAACATTTAAATCGATTTACACCGTATGACAGACTAACTTCTACCCGATGAATCATTTATGCTAATCATAAAAGTTGTACAATCATTCACCTTAATGATAATAAAACATTTATTAGTCAGCTTCTTTGTGACTAATTACACATAAGAGCTCTTTGAATTACTGTAGATAGACAGACTACAGTTAGGAACGGTCTTTGATATTCTATAATAGTATAAACAGTTAAGTTACAAGCAGTTAATCAGTTCTACTAAAAATTATCAGAATGGTTAAATTACTGATTCACTAAACAGTACATATCGTTGTGTTGGGTAATCGAGCGATCGGTTAGTAGTTGAGGTCTTCAAATTACAGCCACCAAGTCGCAGGGTTGAACCCCGCTCCACTTACTTCGGTTGGGGAAACCAGGTAGTACTACTAGCCTTCATTCTTAGGATGTGGTTCGAGCCTAAGTTCATAGATCTAGACCTAGCAAATTAGTTTATAATAATACATTGAAATATAAATGGAGAGAAACGAACATGAACTGCATACTTAGATTACTGGATATGAATCGATTACCATGGAAGATGACCAAAAGTACGAGATAGGCGTCTCTGTGCAAAAATCAGGTTCCCAAACTTATCGCTTCGTTGGACTCATCAAATATTGTCTAGGTTTTACGAAGGACTATTCATTCCACAGGCAAAATCGAGGTAAATCATTTACTAAGCACAAGCTTAAGTATATATATATATATACCTTTTGCATTAAGGATAGTGATATTTTATTTTCTACCCAGAATTCGCCATCCACAAGAGCATGAACTATTGGTCAGCTTTCAGTTCAAGTTACTTAAATGACTAAAAATCAAAAAAGCGACAAATCTATTAATAATCAAAGCGTTACGGCATGGCACATAATTGATCTGTAATAATCGAGGTTGTAGATTTAATCTTCGGGTTCGACACAAATAATGGTGTATCCATGTTCAAATTACCGCTGGTCTTATCGAAACACTTTGTAATTAACTGGTAACTGAGAAAGAACTGGTGTATGTCACATCTTATGAGAACTACCATATACAAGCTGTGTGAGATGGGTTCTTTTAGTTGTAACTGTTATATAAAGTGATATTGTTATCAACAAGATCTTGCCTCAATTTAATCATAATGTAAAGCAGACTAATTATACTGTCATATCTTAAATAAACGAACATAACACTACACACAATTTCTCAGCTAAGTAATTGGAAAGAAATTATGTATTTAGATCATAATCACCCATTACTTTTCCTAAGGTATACAGAACGTCTAAATTTACGTATACTAGAAAAGTAAACTAGTCTACAAACAAGTGAGCTATTTAAATTTTCTTAAACACAGAATGCGCTTTATTATTTAGACTGTTCAGTGTAGTTGGAACAGAATGAAGGATAATGTTCTTCCACGCTGATGTTTATCCCGTGTCATTGGTTGTCTGTTTAGAGACAGCACATATAGGGCAAAACGAAAAAGAAACTCATGTATACAATCCTATTATATAAGGTTGCGCAGATATCGACAATGGTGAAGAAAATAATGTTCCCATCCAAGGTGATTTTATGAATTTTATAATTAACATGAAGTTCTGACGGGAGAAGAAAACACAGTAAAGTACTCTCCTGCTAAAGAATTATCATCAAATTGGTTAATACTCTGTACTCCTACCATGTCTGTTAATATTTATTATCCCATGAGGGTGAAATATATAATAATTCCACTGCTTACTTTTTAAATTAAAACACCATGTTATTATTAAATATATGCATGAAATCAGCATCAAAGTGGCAGAGATATGAAATCAATCTAAGAGTTGCATAAATTACAAAAAGATTAACAAAAGAAAAAAATAAAGACTTATCACAACTACCATATCCAAGCGATTATTTAGAATTAATTACCCAAAATACAGTCAGTATACAAGTGTATACACATGCATTATCTGGGTGTGTGTGTGCGTACTAGGTGTACACAAGTGATGAGAAATCAACATATATGTTTAACCTAAAATTTCAATGGAAGAATAACTAAGTGTGGAATATTGATTGTGTGATAAAGAGATGAAAAATAATTCCAAAACCAAAGATATTTCTTTTTCAGAAATAAAAAAATTGTTAACAGAGCCTATATGCGCATACATCAGTTGATACCGTTTGTATGAGACAAATATTTCTCCCAATTCTCTAACACCTATTGTTCAACGTATACAAAAGATAATGAAAAAGAAGTTAAGTTTATTTCAAATATAAATATATTTGTGATTTTAAAAGATAATGTTATATTTAATTGTTCAATATTTCATTAGAGGGGGGACAAGAAATAATTGTTATAAAAATCTGTTTTCTTTTCATAGTTTACATTACGGACTGATTTTAGCTAATTAAGCAATAAAAACAAGGAAGCACTGGACAGTTGTTTTATCCTAGTATGGGATTTCTCATCAGTGTGTATCTACGATTGCATCACAGATAAAACCGAGGAAGTTCTGGATTCCCTTCAAATACCTAATCTTTCGACTACTGACCACTAGTTTACATATTTAGCTTCGATTAATTCACAATATTGCGCAACCGTGTTTGGATGACAACAGTAGGAATTCGCCACACACTCGACATGTTTGGGCTTCACTAGTCATATCTTTTCAGTGGAACTTCGTGAATTATCCTTTACAATTCGTCACTAGAGAGAACATGATTATTGCTGGAATAGTTTATATCATGGAATAAGTTAGTCGGACAACCGTGAAAATAACTTTTAATTGTTTTTCAGTTGCTATCAATTCAATTTTCTCAATGAAAATAGTAATAATTATTGGATTAGCTTTTAACTAATTATAGTTTGAAAATAATGTCCATCATAACAGGTTAATTGAAACAATAACATCGAAAACAAAGTGGTTATGAAAGTAGTAACCTGTGTTTGTGTTTTAGTCATAGGAAACAATATTCACTTACTTTTAATTGAATTTGCAATAACAATTCTAAATATTCTGTAGTGGCTTGTTTGAAATAAGCAAAACGATTCAAGTCAAAATTTTGAAATTCTTTTTTAATATTTATAGATATATTATTAAATTTATGCTGAGCTTGATCTACACGATTTTCAAGCTTTAAAAGAATTGAAGAAAAAAGAACACAATGATCTAACTATGTGTAATGTACAAAATGAAATATACAAAAAATAAGAACTAGTAATCACGACAAAAACATTGATTTATATAATAAAAACAATCGTGCATAGATAAATGGTGCGAAATATTCTCAAACATCTAAAAACAAAAAATACTCGAAGAAAATACACAAGGTGGGATAATTGTTTGAAGAATAAGTGAATAAAGAGCAGTATATGTAAAGCAAATAGTTTAGAGACTATATTCTAAAATTGCACCAAAGATTTTGATTAACATCAGGGAAATGGGAAAAACATTGATATCGGTTGCTAATTAATACTCGTGGCATCGGTTCATGAAGTCATTGATTGTAGGACTAAGCCATTTTAGGTAGATGCAGACTACCTTTTTGAGGTCACCGAGTGATTATTTTAACGAGTACTTGACACGGTGAATAATATGGCTCGGAGTTGATAGCATTAGTGCTAGTGCATTCACTCTTCATCTCCTTTTAGATCTTGAGTATCAAAATTATCTTAAATTTTTATTTTATGAAGTCGTTCTTTCGTCCAGAATCATACTGTCGATTCTAATGCCTCCCACTACCACTGACACTTAATAATTCAACTGCTCTGACATTTACTTATCTCACTTTGTTAATTCAGTGTGACAACTGAGATCGATGCATATATATGCCAGGTTCTATGTTACGTATGACTGATCGAATACTTGATCAGTAAAATTGTACAAGTTAAGCAGTTGTGTTGATAAGCTGTTGTGAAAGTACATACATCAATAAAGCTGGTGATAAAATGTTGAATATCCTATAGAGTATCACATGCTAACTTTTAATTACTATTATTTCCAGAAATATGATTTCCATCCAGCATATAGCATTAAATATTAGTTTTTAAATTGAAGGTTTGGTTTTCAATAGCGACTAATTTGTAATAGTAACTTTAAGATCAAGTGTAACCTAGGGGGAAAACAAAAACTTAGTATCCACCAGTACTTATCGGTAATTTTTGATGAATGCTTATTTCAAATGGAATACAACGAAAATTTTCATTAAAATTTTAAATCCTAATGATGATTAGGTAGGTTTAGATCATTTTAATCCTCTTTGGATAGATCAGTGAAAACATGCTGTTCGAGTAATATTTGATGTTTATGTCCTATAAGTTGAATATACTATAAAATAAGTTATTAAAATACGCAGTAATAAATTAATAATACAGTCATCTGATATGGAGTGCCAATCAGAAGTAGCTTAATGAAAAAGTCGATCGATAGCAATCAGATGTGACATAAAAGTCAAGTACATTTCATTGGAGTCAAAATGGGTCTATTTCCTACGAATAGACTGGTATATATATATGGGTGTGTTTGTGCATTTTATTCGGTAGTCCAATACACTTTCTCGCTTACTCTTGTATTCTCGTTCAAATAGTCAGTCGTGTGTGACGTGAAATCAATCGTCTAAATTGATGTGAACTGCGATCAAGTGAAGGCTGTTCACAAAAAAAAACAGTTATTGACGTAAATTATCTAATAAATGGGGAAAATAAGATAGAAAAACCTGTCGTATTGTTAACCGATATGATATATATGTACATAACTTGTCACACAAAAATAAACTGCTATATTTAAAGAGATTACGAGACCATCTGAAATCTGCGAACGGAACGAATGATCAGCAACACAACGACAAGACAAGCTAAACTATTACAATGTGTCCCAGCCCTGATAACTATAGAGAGATCAGTATCAGCGTAAAAAGGTCCTTGAGAAACGTCACAAAATAGCGTATTATAGGAGACGAACCAATCAAATTCAAAGTCCTATCAAGTTGGAAATACGATCTAAAGATAAAAATGGGTACTTTTGGTGCGAAGACGAGAAATTCAAATTCCTGAAATAAAATTACAAAAATAAGACGTTTGCCAAGAGATTGCTGGGTATATGGCATCCCCAACATAAACAGGACTAAAAGACATCTAAAACGCCAGTGATAGTATTATACGAATTCTGTAAATTATTCATCGACCAATGAAACTGAGATTTATCAGATCTAATTGTTTCTCGACACATCACTTAATAAATAATATTGTTGAACATACAACATAAATCACAAATGATTCGGAGTTTGATTCAGATAAGAAAACATCAATAAATTTGAACAAATCAATTAATAATAATTATGATAACATATTAATAAAATTCATCATCAATCATTAGATCAAAGAAAGTTGATCCCAAAATAAATTCAAACTGATAGGAGCATATTTGTTATTGTTAGTATTAAATGAAAATAATCAGTATAAAAAAAGGAATAAATTATCTTACATCTTCCAATTCCATTGTTATCGTGGCCATCTTTTTATTATCATTTCTAGGTGCCATTTCCATTCGAATTTTCTGTTCACGCTTTGAACGAAGATTAGCTTCAGCAGTTTTCCATGTACGATATATTCGTACACGTTCACTTAAAACATCCTAAATTATATACATTTAACTTGGTATTATTAAATTTTTTTTAAATAATGAAGTAATATTAATAAGATTTTTCATTTAGAAATAACAAGACAAACAGTTAAATTAAAACTATCTAGTTGAATATTGATTAGAGGATTATCATTCATTTTAAAATTTTATGACCACCATGTAATTAATCAATAAGGGGGCTCATATTCCTAAATTTGTCATAATTGCAAAATAGTGTAACGTTTAACAATCCGATTATTCTTTAAATATTACAACCTACTATAATTCTAAATATCTATCTCAACACATTCTGCTTAAAATTCAAACATTCGATAGTAGACTTGTAGTGAACACGAACACGAGCGGGGGACAATCGAATGTATTTGACAACAAATTACAGAACTTGTTAATAAAACCTAACAATCAAAAAGTAAATGCTCCATTTGCAAAATATTCATCAATTGTCTCAGAATGACTCAAACTTCGTTGTTCTTGCATTTCTATACAAATCGCATTCTGTTTTCATTCTTTACTGGTTGATCTTCTTGTCTTTCTGCTGCCAGACATTCTGTTTACGACTAACAGCATATACTACTTATGTCTACATAAGTAGCACACACCACAGACTATGAGTAGTCCCATAAAAAGAATGAACCGGTGGTATACTTTAGTCTATGTGCTACATTACACTTCAGATATCCTGACAAAAGACTTAAAAGACAACTTAGACCTGATAAATAACAAAATAATTTAAAGCAATAAACGAAGAACAAATACATGGTTACATTGATAATAGTAAAGCTCTACCTCAGTCTGATACATATAAACTGGAGAGTGCAAACCTTTTGTAAACAAAAGCGGGACTGAAAAACACTCTATCTGCATAGTTTAAAAAAACCCTAATTTTTCCAGAAACAATCCGTTTTGAGTACACCATGAAAGTTAATTTTGATAAATGTTTTGGAACAATTTCATCAAACTATGGTTTACCATTAGACAGAATGATTGCATCACTGTTTAAATCAATCGTTAAGTCAACATCTAGTTTCTAAGTAAATTTAGAGAAACATAATAATTATTACATTTTTTGTGATCTCTCGAAGAGTAGAAATTTGTATTTTTGATGTTTAGTCATATTAATAAATAAATACTAGGACGAAACAGCCGTCCAGTGCTTCCAGATTTTCAATGGTGGCCTGACATTGATCGATTCACGATCTCGATCAAAATTCAACAACCTCTATAACCCTATACTGACAAACAGGTTTACTCTGAAGAAGCTACTAACGTTGAGTCACGAAACGTTAGAAATACAAATTCTTATTCATTGGGACATCACAAAAAAATCTATTATTAAATTTCTATCCAATGCTCAATTTATCTAAAACTATCAGGAAAACTTACCTTGCAAGCCTGAACCATGCCTAATAATTCTCGAGAATACTCCACTAAATGGCACGTATGAGCTTCTGCTTGTAAAGCATGTAAATCAGCGACATGTCCTTCTGTTTCTGCCAGATAATGAAGTGCTTGAGCTAAACCAGTATTTTCTTCTACATTAGCCAGGAGAAGAACTGAACGAGACAAGCCAGCTTCGGCATTTGCTAGGTCTGAAGTAAATTGAAATAACTGTTTCTTAACCGAGAGCAATCTAAGGTTATGGTGATGCAACTGAGAAATAAGTTCGTGTGTTTCGCTTTGAGATGCAGTTAACATATGGTGAGCACTGATACTAGATGGTTAAACAGATTGTAGTAGTTTGAGGTGTTTGAATTTATGACTCAATGACGCAAAGATATGTGCTTTGAGAACTGAGTTGCATTTCTAAAAGTATCGTATTTGTTTGTTACTATTATAACTTGTAGCCTGTGTGCCCTGTTAATGTATACGTAATGATACCGCCAATTAGAGAGCAGTGAATTATCGATCGGACCAATGACGCGCGAAACCCGTACAAGCAGTCTAGAGTACTTATCGGTCCTGCTTCCTGCCTAGCCCAGCCAGTTGAGTCCAGAACACCAATCTCATCCTCTGTAATATGAATCATTTATTTCAAACATACGGGGTTTATATACCAATCAAACAGACAACATCGTACCAATAAAATAGGAAACAACATTTATACAAGATTTGGCCAAATGTGGCTTTGAATGTGGGAGGTAGTAATTAATAGACAGTGAATAATTCAAGAATGGTAAATCGTATAATAATGGTTCATAGGTCAAAATAAGGCTCATAATAAGAGGGATATGAATATGAATAGTTTAATTACTTAACAATTATACGATAAAAATATACGCATAGTATTGGTCCATAAATGGATCCCAAAAGTTACCATTCATTATGCTTATCGGAACATAGCAGTTACAAACAATAACGATTCGACGCAGGTAACACTAAAGACCAAATAATACATGGTTTGAGTCTGACTACCATATATATATATATATATATATATATATATATATATATATATATATATATATATATATATTTACCCATTTCATCATTCTGGTGACAGTGCACGAAACAAATAATGGTTTAACTCAACAACACTAAACTGAAAACGTGGAGCCAGTAAAAATCTATGCCAAATCCTTCTACAGTTCACTCTTTCAGCAAATTAAAGTTGGCGATATGCTTTGATCTTCTACTGTGGCCGTAGTTAAAAGTGAGAGAAGACTGGTTTGGTGTGCTTAACACATGGAAAAGTCAAGTTAGTCTCCAAGGCTCAACAAACTTATTGAATTATCAACAATACTTTCCTAAAACAACATGCCGAATCTTGGTGTTTCCCATTCAGTGAATTCACTACACCTGATCAATGTTTTAGCAATAAATCTGATAGGATGACGAAAGTTGCTTCAAATAACAGGGTCCTTAGTTAAAAAGGTTGGTCAAAGCACCCTCATCAACAAACTATTAAGATTTTATCCAGGCACTAAAATATTATGTTGGTGTCTGAAACGGCAGGCTGTAAGATGTCAAGTAGAATTTTATAGTCCACTAGTTGGCAATATTCAAAGATAAAGTAGTCAGCACATTCAACTACGCAACTCTATATTTAAACTTTATTTTAAAAGAAGCTAGTTATGAAGTGCCATCTGATTAACAGATGCCACATGTATAAAGAGCTTTATTGAGTTTTCGTTCATCATTTTTCGAAATATACAGTAGTTTGCTAACATTCGTCTCTCTATTCAAAAAGTCTATTTTATTTGGATAATCTGAGACATTCTGGTACGTAACCAATTTCTGACCAGTTATAGGTAAATAGCATATATTCCCATTTATCTGTTTACATTATCTGTACTACGTTTAAAACACGTAGGTCCCTTCCATATTTATTATTCTTTAGTCTAGATCATGCCCTATGGAGCTTACGACTTCTAGAATTAGGCAAATGAAGCTGAGAACCAGATAGTTGCAATTGAATAATTCCTCTGGTTTCTCTCAAGCCTAAAGGTGCTACTTCTAACTAACATATCGTAGTACATATCTCAGTAGTAGTTCAGTTAATACCTCTGAACTACCATACATAAAAGCAGTCAAAATTAAGCTGTCAGAATTTAATATCCTTTCTCAATCCACCTTTCTTATAAACTTACCAATATTGATCAACATTATTCAAACTGTCACATCAAAATGTTTAACCCCTTGAAAAAAACAAACAACAACCATCCGTAAGCAAAAGGACAACACATCTAACCAACAAAAACAACAAACTAAGACTCTTGTTTCAAACAATCCCATTTCAATAAACGAAAGTCGGAAAACTCACTGACTATTTAGTATACACGTAATGTCATTTGCATATCATATGTTTTATAGCTATTAAATCACAACCATTAAAATTAGAAAAAGAAAAACTCAAATAAATCAAATGCCTACCATTGTCTCCTGATACTAAGTTAAGAAGTGAAGAGTGAAGACGTTTAAGTTGCTTTTCCCAACTATCTAATTCATCTGCTTTCTGATAAAAGAACTAGAAGGGTAAAGAGAAATATAATTGAATGGATAGATAATATAATGCATAAAAGGTGCATTTACTACTGGACTGAACTGTAAACATCACAAAAGAGGAATGTAGATGATGTAGGTAGTGTTACATCTATGGTGATAGTTAGTCAGTCAGTCAGCTGCAACGTAGGACCAGACACGTATATGCATCAGTCCAAGTTGTCATACCGCATTAGCACAACAAGATCAACACCAGATTCATAGAAGTAGTTAATTCAGTGGTGGTAATATATAGAAGATTGCATATAAGGAGATAGTACAGGAAGAAAGAATTAGTTCCTAGAAAGAAAGATATGAAGCGATTTTAATCTCTTAGTTTAAAGGAAGATAGAGAGTGTATACACCTACACCATTGTGATAGATTCTGAGCCATGTCACCAAGAGTCTCCAATCATTGGTTACGATAGTCACGCGGACCCCAACCAAGTAGTCTGCATCTACCAACAAGGCTCAGACTAGAAGTTAGTGACTTCAAGCACTGATTTCATGTTTTGGTTTGACCGCCCCTAACTTTCTTCCAACCATACCCAACACTAGTCAGCGTTTCGCTTTGTGGTAATCGGTGTTTAGGTATACGTAACACGTGGCTCAACCATCTAAGTCGGTGAAGATTTACAACCTCATCAACTGACCTACCATCATTCCCTAATACCCTGCGTCTAACCTCACCATTACTTACCCGGTGATCTCAGCACATACCCGCAATATTTCTAAGGCACCTGTGGTCAAATACTAGTAACTTACGAATATCTTCTACTCTCAAAGGCCATTTTTCGCAGCCGTATAGTAGAACGGAACGAACTGCCGCGCAGTATACTCGTCCCTTAATTGATAGACGGATATCTCGCCTTCGCCATAGATGACGTAAGTTGGCAAAGGCCAAACGAGCTTTTCGAATCCGTGCTGAGATTTCGTCAGACACCAACCCATTAGGGCTGATCAGACTTCCAAGATAAGTGAAGTTGTCGACGCGTTCGATTACTTCACTCCCTATCCTTAGTTCAGGTGTTGACGAAGACCAGTCCTGAAGCAACAACTTGCATTTAGAGGGAGAGAAGCGCATCCCAAACATTCTGGCATTGTTGCTCAGTGCTACCAAAAGACTCTGCATTTCATCAGCGTCTTCACCAAACAGGACTATGTCATCTGCGTATTCTAAGTCAATAAGTGATAGTTAATAGTTCAAGCTTGTGCCTCCGTTTTGCTGTGCGGTGTCCAGTATGGCAATACTCAAGCTTTTTGTGCACGAGTCCAACCGGTCACTCGAGTGAGAAGGAAGCTTTTATTAGCTAACCGAATTGAGAGATATCTGCACGCTTATTTACTCATATATATATATATATATATATATATATATATATATATATATATATATATATATATATGCCTCTTAGAAATTTAATTTACGTCTTCAACCAAAGGAGTATCTCTTTCTTTAAAAAAAACCTTGACCAGTTGTATGCGCTTACCATTTGGTCGATGTTTGGTTGATCCACTATATCACCGTGTGTTGGAAATATCCCATTATTAGCTGTAATACTTTAAATGGCGGAAACGAGAAGATACAGCTTTAGAACTACTTCACATAGAATCATACAATCTGTTAACCCCGAGCAACACGGGTTTCCAGACAAGCATTCATGCTTGACTGACTTACTTATTGCGAGAGTGGATTGGATAGCAACTCTAGATAATGATCTCTTTTTCGATGCGATATTCATAGACCTTAGCAAAGCATTTGACAAGGTTTCTCACCTAGGTCTAAAGCAGAAGCTATCGAGCTTTGGAATCACAGGTGCCGTAAAGGAATGAATAAGAAACATTTTATGTGGCCGAATATAGAGGGTGAGAGTAAGTGGAACACTATCAGAATGGAGGCTGGTCAAAAGTGGTATACCCCAAGGTACCATCTTAGGTCCCCTGCTTTTCCTTCTCTACATCAATGGATTACCACTATTGCTTAGCTCGTCGATATTGTTGTTTACGGATGATGTAAATCTGGAGAACAGTAAGAAGTACGGCTGATCATTTGGTTTTCAAGCTGACCTAAACGGATTAGTTAGATGATCCCAATGTTGGGGCTTAGAAATTAGTTCTAGAAAGTGTTCCCATGCCCATCGGACACGGTAACAGTTACTAGCATACTGACGACGGTACATATCTTCCATGCGTGCAGGAACATAACAATATCTACTGGATCCTTCTACTTATACAACCTATTATAAAAAATATTTTCGATGTGAATCAATAACTTACGTAATTTTAATGCTGTAGATTTAACACCTTAATAGAGTGCTATAGGGGTCAGTTTTATGCTTTAGCGAATACTTCTTACCCAAAAATAACCATGGATTATGCCACCTCTAAAATTAGGACTAGCTAACTTGACATATGCTTGTCAAACGCATCTCTTCTTTATTAAGACACTACAGTACTCAGTGACTCACAACGATACAGAAAAATCGTAACAAGATTAGTTAGACAGATTTAATGATTCCAGTTATGAACAGCAGAATAATTTAAGCACCGGCAATCCATAAAGCAGATTTTATCTATGTTCTCGATTTAGTTTGTAGCTAGAAAACAATCCGGCATCCTAATTAGTCGAATTAAACTCCCAATCTCTTTTTAGTATTGAATCGACGCTTCAAATTGACCTAGCCACTGTTTATTTCCCGATCCCAAGAGATTTTAAATAGCTTTGAATCATTCGTCATATCAGTGAAGAATACAGAGTATACAAGACCAAACAATACATTTAAAACCTACCATTGGTGCATAAGCCACATGTTAAACTGCCTTACCTAAGGTCTCTGGCATTATTAATTGGAAATTTTAAAGTGATCATTATTTTAACCACGGAATATAACATAAACCCTATAAAATACGAAGGTATAGTACGTGTATGTTTTTGAATAATTCATACTTGTTTCACCAAGCACAGATCATCACAGATACAAAATCTATACTTTTTGAGAATCAATTCATTTACTGTTTTCCTAAGGCCAATCATTTACATATTCGATGTTAATAAAAGGCAATTCTATAGTATTATGGCCTATTAAGAACATTTTATTTATAGAATTCACTCTTATTAATTTACTATTATGACTTATGAAACTATGTAGTTGAGAAACGGTTTAGGCGAAAGAAGCAATTTATTTGTGATCAATAATACATCATTCGAATAAAATTGCACCGATTAAAATAAATAAGGACCATATATACACTGGAAGACCGTGAAATATAATCACATATTAGGAAAACAGATCAAAATTGATTTGTAAAGCGAGATAATTTATAACCATATGCTGATTAAAAAGTTACCAAAACAACAATAAAGCATTTGATTTTTCAAGCACATACATGCAACACACTGGATTTACATGTAAATACAATTAAGACACTAGATATGGTCGGCAAGCTATAGGTGAAGAAAAGATTATTACGCATTGAATATAAGACTTATTTATCTGATCTCAGTTATAAAACATTACTAAATTCTAGCGCTTAAATTACATACCTCATAATTAATTAAATCATACTTTGATAAACCGAGAGTTTCTATTCTAAACTCATATAAGGATGGAAACCGCTAAACATCATAGTCGTTTAAAAGCAATTTACCTAATTTTAAAATCCCTTAGTGATTGGCCACAACCTTCCTCGTTCCCAGCGTATGTTTTGCGAATAACCACATAAATTTCTAGTGAAACTCTAAATATGTTAATATCAGTTTAATTGTACTATCATGCACCTTACGATACCTAAATATTATTTTCTTGGTTACAAGTTATCACTGTAACAATAAACCATCAATAGATTAATCTTTTTTTTTAGTTTGAAACTGATAATACCAAAAACAATAAAACGATAGAAATTTGACAACACGTAAAATATACTTATTATACAACCAAAAACATTAACGAAACTGATCATGAATTGAAACTTTTTATTCGGGTAATAAGTATGACTCGTGAGACTTTTATTTCCAGTGTCATAACTAAGGAACTAAGGTCAGTGTGTATCATTCAAGTCGAAACTACTCAAAAATTTAGGTACCCAAATAAAAAACGTGATTATTAGGTGTAAATAAGCAAACTGCAGAGTTCACATACTGCCCTACCGTGTCTTAATATCTTACGGATCTCAACCTAGCATTTGATATCATAACCCATATACTTCACGCTGAAAGGTAAAAATCGTACGCCGCTAATAATTCAGCACATTTCTTACAAGGTATATGATTACCACTATCTAATGGATGCCTCCACTGGTTTTGATTTCTTAGCTTGTTGACTAGTAACCCAGTATTTATATTACATTTAGCCAGTCATATAAACATAGCTGAAATCAAACGCAGTCTCACAATATCTGCAACTTATGTATGAAACATGCCAAACGTTCTACAATTTTTATTTGGAAAATTTTTAAAACTTAAGTTCCATTTTTTCCACTTAAAACCTTTGTATCTATGGTGAACCCAGTTACTTCAGTGACAAATCCGTTCTAAAAATGTAATCACTAATGAGGTTAATAATTATAGGACTTGTAGAGATTATCATGACAAATCACTTAAAATTACTAGTTAACCGTTCCAAAACTCAAATATCGTAGTCTCAGCCCTGTTTGAGGCTCGCCAATCATCTAAATTGTTTTTAAAGAAGAATGAATAAACGCCAAGGTGGTTGACATAGAATTAAACTGCCGATTTACGGCATACCATATATTGAGTTCAAGTGGAAACCACAGACTGTACTAATCTTTCAGATAATATAAGGTAAATTGAAAACTTCTGAACATCTGTTTAAGTCTTAGTAAGATTATTAGTAAAAAAATACTGAACCATTAATATGAATCAGAAAAAGAATGAAATGGAAATCACAACACAAAGCATCTCATCTAGAAGTGCAAATGATATATATTTCAAAATTGCATTTTAAAATGGACATTCATTGAATTGTAGTGTTAAAACGATGGCGGCCAATGGGTATTAGGGACTAACTTACCTCCTCAGCAGTATTCTGAAAACCATATAGTATGAACCATGATAAAATCTAATAGGAGGCAAATGCGACGTAATTGTTTTGGATGCTTTATTTTGTTAACCTAGAAGGCTAGAACTGACCGGTTAAATATAAGTCCATAATGTTTGCAATACAGTTGTTTAAGAAACCACTGAACTAACCTTTCAAAGAATCATAACAGGTTCTAACAAAACCTCTAAACAGGGACTATCATACACAATGACTACTTCATGGATGAAATTCAGTAACCAGAGAACCTAAGTGATAGAGTTTGAAATTGATTACAGAAATCCAGATCCATTCTTTCTCTACCCTTTCATAAGTTTTGGACACATCATATTTCATCTATTTGTACAATGTTGCTTGCATCTTTTCCTATCGTTATTTCTTTTTATATATTGTGAAGCAAACTAACCTGAACCAGCGTACTAAAACGCTACATTTTGCACATCTTTTTGACTCCATGAAGTACATAATGTAATATGAACTACTTTATAGTATAGAAGACTAATTGTTCCCTGTTCTAGTCGGACAAAATTTAGTGGCAAGTGATTGAAAACCCAGCAACCATCTATTCAGGTTGACTGTATATTATTTACATGAAGCAGTGACCAAGTATTTAAGGCACTTGGCTTTCAAACAGCAGGTCATAAGTTCTGACCATTCCGCTTATCGCAGTCTGGGCAGTCATTTAGTATCAATATCCCTCACGCAGACAGTACAGCTCGAAGTCGAGTACACAAAACTGTACAGTTGGTAAATGAGTTACATGAATGATCTCCAAAACAGACACAACATATGTGTAAACTCAGAAACATTAACACAACGTAAGACTTAATCATCTCAATTTACCGAAGCTCCTTTGATATTTTGCACAATTCGAGGACAAGATAACCGATTTCGTTGGAAATGTACGATAAGTATTATGGACTAGGTGATCGTTCAGAGTTAAAATATTCTCAAAATTTCGTACTTTCGGATATATTAACTATTGATATGCGGCTTTGAGGCCTAGCCAAATTACTTTTAGACGCAGAGGGGCAGGTTCACGTGTTAACTTATCCAAAAGATTTTGTACAAACAGGTAGTATCAGCTCTTGTACTATATTTTCTAGTCACTAGGAAAAACAAATATATGTAAATGAGTAACATCACTAATTTTAGTCACATTGTGGTGATTGTGGATATCTTTATTTCATTTCTACATTTATGGACTGTCACGTAAAAAAACTTTCACTGAGAGGTAAAATTCCTTGAAATATTTAGTATTAGCAGTTCCAAAACATTCTATATAGATCTTTTTTCTACCCGAGTGATTCCCAGAAACGGAAAGAAACTATCAATATTTAATGAACGATACCAGTTATCATACTATTGGATATAAAATAACCCCTCAAACAGTTTTATCAGTGCTTACCTCTTCGGGATCATCAACTTTGTAAGCAAACTTTCCAATCGCATCACCCAAATTTTTCATCACTTTTATCGCTGCAGCACCGGACAATAGTTGGGTGTTGGTTGCACGTGGGAGCTCTCCTTCATGCCGAAGGAACTCACAGACATCTTCATCAATATGTAGAACTGGATGTGAGAGTACTCGTGATAGGAATCTGTGAAATTATTGACAAAATTCTTACCGTTCTAAAGCTAATCGGCGACGTTCAACAAATTCATTTTCTGCAGAAACGTCCTTTGACATTTTAACTTTAGTTGTAGCTGAAGAGCATAAAACAAAACTAAATCGTTACCTAGCATATCTTTAGAAGGAACAGGGGGAACAATAACTCCTTCAGAAAGATACTTCGCGACTAACCTTTCATGTAACCCAAGGAAATCAGAAAACCGTCTGAGAACTGAAAACTCCTTGCCATTAAACTTGAAAATAAGGTTATTATGATCACAAACCTTTGTCTTAACACGATATACTATGTATGACGAAATACCCTCACCAACTTTTGCGGGGCTTGTGACTTTCACAAGTGCAACATCGGAAACAGTGTTCTGAATTTCATCAAAATAAGGCTGAACATACTACAGTTTCTTTCCCAGTGTCAATGGGCGATATGCCATGTGTGACATTTCGTTCAGGTATATAACCAGTCCGCAGACAAGACTCAGAATTCAACGATACATTTAAGGCGTTTTCAGAGTTTTCATTTAGCTAAACAAAGGCATAATTATGACAGGACACTCACGTCTAGCTCAGCGAACTCATCCTCTAACATTATGCGATTCCCAATCGTTGAAATGCCTGTGTCCAGGTTGGGGGTACGTTAGTATATGAAAACAAGAGCAAGGTGTACAGATATAACAACCGTCGCTCCCTAGCCAGGACAATAATCTAGAAGGGATAAAACAAAACCGAAGCTACCAAATAACAACAACGCAGTTTAATATTTTGTTAAAAGCTATTTTAAAAGGACAGTGGTACAGTTTCTTCTTGTATGAATAGATAACCTTCTTGTTGGGTGTACATAAAGTACGGGTAACCTTTATGTTGCATGGTTGAAAAATATTTGGTTAATTTCTCCAGGTTATGGTCTGGGTGTCAGCATTAATTCTTTTATAAGCGGATAACTTTACAAGTCCTCTACTGTTATTAACCTCATTGAAAGGAGAATGTATGAAGGGAACAAGACAAAGAGGGTACTATGGGACACAATAAAGATCAAGAGAACTTACCAGAATAAACGCACATTTGAAAAATGTTATTAGATGCCCTAAAGTTCATTAAGAAACATTCTCGTACCCATGTTAAGTAATCTGAGGTTTACTATCAGTCAGGGCTTGAAAACTAATGGAAATTGATGAGTTACGGCCGTTAAGCATCCACGGACATTCTAGGCAATACATGGGGAACTTAGTCACCTAGATACCAAGGAGCATATGAATTGGGGGGGGGTGTCCACAATTAGAGTATAATATATACGCAGCCTGTTCAGTTAAAAGAATGTAAGCTGGTGGAATAGGTTTGAAGAACTTCAACTACGCCAAACCATAGCATCTCGATGTTTCCGAGTGGCAGTAAATTATCTGAACTAAATAGTTTCTATTTCTTAAGTGAAGACTTAAGGTGACCCAATCACAATCATGAATCTATATTTATAACTTCGAGTAAAAATGTTTTCATGTAAGAACATAAGTTTGCTTTTTAGAATGGCAAGTTCAGAAGGACAGAAAGGATCTCACAATCTCACAACGGCTTGCGATATATCTAGTGACCTTCCCTGCGAATCACCAAAATGTGAGAGTCTGTCCTGAATTATTAATACATTACTTGAAAGCAGATAAACTTTAGTATACACACAACTTCTCGTTAACCCGCAGCATCTCATCAAGTGCTTACTTAGACTTTCCTTATGTTTAATTGTAATCGATAACCCATAATTTTGTGACATAACTTTGTACACTACTCAAGTCGTTTGAACCAAGTAACTACCTATTGAACTCCAACCAATTAAGTTTAAGTAAATGCATACAAAACTATTACATTATTCTATGGCTGAACTTCAACAGCTCAAGGTCTCTGTTGAGTAAACGCAAAGAGTACAAGTAACGCAACGCATATATCTGGCGCGACCGAGTGGCTTAGATAGAAGAGATTCCAGATTTATATAGTAAGGACAGAAGGCCCACGGCCTATGTTATTCCTTTTCTAGTATGCTTCTGTGAGTGTCCAGTCTTCTCCTGAAAGTGTCAATTGACTGCGTGGTCACTTCTACCTAGTGGTGGGAGGGAAGTCATTTGACCAACGTCATCACCGTGTGTGAAGATTAAATCTAAAAAAGAAGAGGATTTTCTTAAGTCATATCGTGTGGGATTTCTAATGTGTTAGAATAAAACCAATCCAATCTAGGTGCCTAACATTTTGCAATCGAACGACGTTATCGATGACCCTACTTTTAAGTTATCCCGGTTTATACACGGTGCATTAAAGTCGCCTACTACAAGGCTTTTACCCTTGTTACACCAGGACTTAAGTTTGCTTAGGAGAAAATCACCTACTACACATTCTGGACTGCGATATACTACAGCTAATTCAATATCTTGCCGTCTACATTTCGGCCTACATCGCACCGGTTCACATGTCCCTGATACATGTGCCACTGTCCCAGCTGCTCTTATGGTTAAAGTACTTTTCGTGTACAGGATAACCCCCCCCCTACAATTTAGTCTATCAGCTCTACTGGATAAAAAGATAGTCAACTGAATTTCATCATTTAATACTTCAGACGTTAACCAAGTTTCTGAGACAGCAATAACATCCGGTTTTTCTTTATCCACCATTGACTTAAGCCCCGCCATTTTATTTAGTAGGCTGCGAGCATTTGTGTGGCATACCCTTAGGTCTTTGGAGAGCTTTCTCTTACCACTCAGAGTGGTTTGGGGACAGAATAAAATAATCTTTCGCTTAACAGACTTTAGTATCTAGGAGTAGTGGATCATAGATGCATCCAGGTAGGAAACTAAGTGTATCTAACAGGTGAAGGAGAAATGTTGATAAATTATGAGAAAATACAATAGCACGGTAGAAAGTGATGTCTGTCGTTTTTGCTCACATGGAGCGTGATATTGTGTACATTATGTAATAGACATTTCCAATCTTGATCTATTTATAGGTTGGTGATAAATCTGTGACATTGCTACATCAGCTGTAATCTTGTCATCCAAGCCTACCAAACACGGTATAGTTATGATCCCATTGTTAAACAGATTCATGCTGGCTTATTTTTAGACTATGAACTGAATTATTGCTCTCAGGTATTAACAAGTAATTAATATTATTTGCCACGCCAGTTAATGTTGATACTTTATGATCAATTATAAAATGACAAACTTTATACTTAGTTATAACTTGGGTGTACTTTTACTTGCACGTTTTTATCATTTATAACCGAGGTAAGGAGCTTGAACGCTCAGTTTCTCAATACTGTTAAAAGTTATCGTAAAATGTCTGTAAATAAATGGTTCTTCACACGAACGATCCTATTTATTATGTAAACTGGGGTATTCATTTTGAAAGTCGTATCTTTTACTTAAATATATCGGTCAAAATCCCTTTGTTTTCCTAGGGCTAGCGATTGAATGTCACCACTAGGTAGGAGTGGCGACATAGTTCTGGTTCTGTCTTTCCATATAGTTATCTAAAATGACGTGTCAGCCAGAGCTAGCACAAATAATCGGAAAGCGAATGCACAAAAAATTGTAGTGTGGAGTTATATATATATATAATTAAGCGACTAATAGTAAGGGTAGCAGAATGAATATATGTGTATGCAGCAAGCAATACTCAAGCATACATATATTCAATAATAAGGGCACAATGGTTGATACTGTACGAGTGACTCTGTCCGCTAAATAAGTTAACAAAGGGGCTTAACCAAATTAAATGTGAACACACTCAACTGTACGTGAGCTGTTATTGTCTCATAGACTAACCATTTAATTACCTTGATGTTAATGTGCATGTCATAGTAAGACTTTATATCCTAAAGACACCTAGGAACCGAGCTGGTTTGTACAGTACAAAGACGCTCGTTTTGTTAGTCACAAGTGTCTCTAATGATCAACCAATAAAAACGAATTCTGTAAGCCAATGTGGTCTTTTGGTTAAGTACGTGACCTCGTACGTGGTAGGACGATAGTTCAAATGCGTATAAGGCAGTGCTTTTGTTCCCGAAGCGTGTTCATATACGATATTTGCAGATTTTAAATTACTCAAACATGGGAAAAGAGCATAAAAATACTTTTGATAAGGATTCGTGATAGATTCCCAAAAGTAGGCGGGTTCTGTGGTCTGAATGCGCCACTCGCCTTCCATTTACTTAATTGAATATGAGTCAATATGGTTGTAATGACAGTCTTAAAATTTTGTAAATTTATTGTGGAAATGTAGTGAATACAGTTCTTAGCATCAATGAGTACCGACGTTAATAAACAAAGCTAGAAAACTAAACATAATGGTTGTATTATCGATAAAGTTGCTTAGACGTAATTCATATCCTTGATGTGTATTTGAAATCAAATAGCTTACATGCTACCATTAAAGAAGAAGTACGATGTTTTTAAATAACTAAATGCTCAAAATGAGTGGAGCGTGTGATTATTGGGGAGAGCATAAATTTTAGCCAGGAGGAGTATGTAGAACTATAGTCTACTATGTTATTAGTACTGCTCTAAAAATATACCTAATCCTTAAATTGTAGATGTATCATAATGTAACTGCCTAATTTATAAGATCTTACGGGGAAGTCACATTATTATCTACACCACCTGATCGCATCGTTATAATCACAAATATATGATGGAGAAGAAGCTTAGGTCAGAGATAGAACAATATATTTAATATGAACAAAAGATATGAGGTAACATTCAACATGGACCACGACCACAAGGCCGAGCCATGCCATCCGATCAGTTATAATTAATTCAATTGATTATTGATCTCGCCTTATCCATCGTTGGGTTTTTCTCCGCGTTAAATGTTGAATATTTATTTACCATATTGTCTCGTGTTAGGACTCAATGCCACTACAAGTAAAAAACCCCACACCTTTCTGTGATGATAGTATGAACGTTTTCTTAGTGCTTGTATAAATACGACAACTATGCTTCATGTTTGGAGGAGATTTGCTCGACTGCTTGCACTGATGATTTGCACAAGTATCTGTCGTCAAACTTCTAGTCAAACTGATAGGTTCAGAACTGTGGGAACACAACAATATTAGATATATGTCCTGATGGAAGCAACACTGTAACGACCAAACTATCAGTATTCGGTTTGAACGCAGGACTGACGAACCAAAATGTATTCGAATAGGCTAGACTACGCTCTTCTGTATAGCTTACCAAGTGTTTTTGAGACACTCGTATTAAATTACACCACAACATAAACTCTGTGCCCGATTTAAATGGTTCTAATTTAGGAAATAGAACCAATTATATCAGAAATACAAAATACCTCAAATGGTACAGTCTGTGCTATACAGTCGAAAGTTTCTCTAAAGCAAAGTAGCGCGCTAAACAACAAAAGAAACAGTTAATACCAAAGGGTTCGATACCTGACAATCAATAGAAATATTCCCAACAAAATGGGATCGAATATCTATCTGAAGGGATTCCAGCGATCCTCCCAAGCGGACAGTCAGATGCGTAGCAGTCACACACTGAACCACTCCGTGACCTTGAGCTTAGTCAAACGACGTTACTGCCAATAGTTTGGCAACATGCAATAGAAAATTAGGTAACAAAAGATAAGTCTTTAGTCAAAATCACGTAATAAAACCTCAGACGAGGAAGTTTGAAGAACAAAAGGTGTGGTTAAAGGAGATCTGAACAAAGGTTAAAATACATGACAGGGAGAAGAGACAAATAACTGACAGTACTGTCTGATAAAAAGGCTGCGGATGAATTTTCATCGTTCTCTTTCCGTTACACGGTATACTTCGAATATAAAGATGTTACTAGTAAAGGTTGAGTCAACCTCTGAATACTTGTGGCATCTTTATTGTTATTCAAGGTCAAATCATAGAAAATTCCTTGGTAATCTAAAAGAAACTTTTAGTACATTTCAAGGATCAAGAAAGAAAAGTTCTAGTTAATTCCATGACAAAAGCGCTTGTTGTCATGCATTGCTTAAAAAATATGGAGTAGATATACTAGATATGACTTCATCAATTGTTGAGATGTGTAAAAATCACACTGATTACAAGCTTTTGGCTCCAGTGCAACACCGAACCGTTGAAAATAATTCACTAACTAGCTCAAAAATTACAAGTGTCACTGAACACATTTTACGCAATTCTATGAAAATAACGTAGCAACTACTAGAAATCAAACTTCCACGCTGTTTATTACCACAGGTAAATGTATGAGGATCACCAGAGTGAACGTGTGAGTGTGAGGCGACCGAAGGAATCTTAAGATAACTAAACGAAATTTTAGAGCTTTAATATCTATTCTGCGGTGGACCCAAAAGTATATGAACCAAAAATTAGCAATAATGTTATTACGTCCAAACGTTAATGTAACAACAACAACTTATAAATTAGTAACACAAAATAAAAGTTTAGGGACGTTACTTAAATCGGCTAGTTGTCGCGTATCCCGTTGAGTTTGCGTACCAAAATCCACAATTATAAATGAGTAACCACTCTGATGAGGTAAATATGACTCCAGTAGTTTCCTTGACGTAGGTTGTAATAGTAATTATAGAAGAATCTAAAATGGTGACAATATTCGATTTAGAATGCAATTGGCTCGATAACAAAGGGGAATAGAACAAGGAGTGTGTGCGTAGTAGTGTATTTGCGAACAACCACAAGTGTGTCACGCTATGTTAGTATCACAACGGAAAAAGCGTTCAAGGTCATTCACTAAAACAACAGGTACAATGATTTAATGATAAATGTACATACAGTGAAAGATTGACAAAATAAATACAAATAAAAATAAAAACTATTTACAGAATAATTTTGACAGACCTGTCTCCAAATAGTTCCCTACAGAGTTTCCGGAGGTAAAACTGCTTATAATAAAAAAAGTAAGAATATGATGTATACATATATTCAAAAAT